GGCTTTCAGGTTATAAATACTTCAACATCGCTGCAGGTAATTCAAAGCGAATTTTGTATATGCAGTTAGTACAAGTTGTACCAATGGTGTTGCTGTTTTAGATTAAATAATATTGAAGATAGTTCAGGTGATTGTTTTTTATTTCAAATCATATTAACAAGAAGAATCCAATTCAATATTGCAAAACAAATAAATCTAGCACCTTACTAATAATAGTATACATTATATGTTGATATATTTAATTACTTTATACTTTTTTTTAAATAAGAAATAATTAGCTAAACTAAAAAATAACAATTTGGATATAACAAGTTATATTCTAAAAAAGTAGTATTTTATTACAAATTTTTATTTTGACATCTATACTTTTTTTTCCTTCACCAAAATATAATATTTTTTATGAAATTAACACAGCAAAAAATCATTAAATTATTATAAGACATGATAAAAATCGAAATAAACACTTAAGTTGTTTATTTTTATATGTTGTACCAAAAAAATGAAATTTATGAAAAACAATATCAACTTTTAAATAGGGAACAACAAGTCATCCACCATCACCAGTATCACCAATAGCTTTTGATGAGGATCAAGAATATCAAAATGTTGAACAAGAGTGTTATAAATTTAAATATATTATTTATTTAAATCATTTCTTAAGTTTTTTTAAGATTTGAAATTTTTTAATTTTTTTGGGAAATTTTTTTTAAGTTTTGGTAAAATATTTATTATTTTTTTTTTAATTTTTAATTTTTTTTTTTATTTATTTTTTTATATTAATAATGGATGAGCAACTATCATCTCTAATTAAATTTCGCGTAAATGAAGAGCTAAAAAACAGTAGTAATATTAGTGATAGGTAAGTGCAATACAATAAATATTTATTGAAAGTACATTAATTGGTTTTTTCACATTTTATTATAGATTATTTTATAAAGTTTGGAATAATATATTTTTAAGAAAAGAAATTCATGAACATATTTTAAAGTTTATTGAACATCGTGTTGTAGATTTTGATAGATCCCGTTATGACCAGTTTAAATATAAATCATATATAACAACACTTAAGTGGGGTGGTGATCCACTACCAGATAAAAATGAATTTCCACCATTTTTAACAAATTTATATTTGTACAATTTTTCTAAAATGTTACCTCCAACAACTTTACCAAATACAATTACTACACTCGCATTCGATGATGATTATAACCAAGTAGTTCTACCCGGCACATTACCAAATAGTCTCACAACACTCACATTCGGTGATGGTTTTGACCAAGTAGTTCTACCCGGCACATTACCAAATACTCTCACAACACTCACATTCGGTCATCGTTTTAACCAAGTAGTTACACCTGGCACATTACCAAATAGTCTCACAACACTCACATTCGGTGATTATTTTAACCAAGTAGTTACACCCGGCACATTACCAAATAGTCTCACAACACTCACATTCGGTTATCGTTTTGACCAAGTAGTTCTACCCGGAATATTACCAAATGGTCTCACAACACTCACATTCGGTAATTATTTTGACCAAGTAGTTACACCCGGCACATTACCAAATAGTCTCACAACAATCACATTCGGTGATAGTTTTAACCAAGTAGTTACACCCGGCACATTACCAAATACTCTCACAACACTCACATTCGGTGATTATTTTGAACAAGTAGTTACACCCGGCACATTACCAAATAGTCTCACAACGCTCACATTCGGTAAGTATTTTAACCAAGTAGTTACACCCGGCACATTATCAAATAGTCTCACAACACTCACATTCGGTTAATTGTTTTAACCAAGTAGTTACACCCAGCACATTACCAAATGGTCTCACAACACTCACATTCGGTCATGATTTTAACCAAGTAGTTGCACCCAGCACATTACCAAATAATCTCTCAGCACTCACATTCGGTGATGGTTTTAACCAAGTAGTTACACCCGGCACATTGCCAAATAGTCTCACAACACTCACATTCGGTGATGGTTTTAACCAAGTAGTTGCACCCAGCACATTAACAAATACTCTCACAACACTCACATTCAGTTATAGTTTTAACCAAGTAATTCCACCCGGCACATTACCAAATAGTCTCACAACACTCACATTCGGTCATGATTTTAACCAAGTAATTCCACCCGGCACATTACCAAATACTCTCACAACACTCAAATTCGGTTTTTATTTTAACCAAGTAGTCCCACCAGGAACATTACCAAATAGTCTCACAACACTCACATTCGGTTATTGTTTTAACCAAGTAGTTCCACCTGGCACATTACCAAATAGTCTTACAACACTCAAATTCAAAACTAGTTTTAACCAAATTCTACCCGGCACATTACCAAATAATCTCACAACACTCACATTCGGTGATAATTTTAACCAAGCAGTTCCACCCGGCACATTACCAAATAATCTTACAACACTCACATTCGGTGGTGAATTTAACCAAGTAATTCAACCCAGCACATTGCCAAATAGTCTCACAACACTCACATTCAGTTATAGTTTTAACCAAGTAATTCCACCCGGCACATTACCAAATAGTCTCACAACACTCACATTCGGTCATGATTTTAATCAAGTAATTCCACCCGGCACATTACCAAATAGTCTCACAACACTCACATTCGGTTATTGTTTTAACCAAGTAGTTCCACCTGGCACATTACCAAATAGTCTCACAACACTCACATTCGGTTATTGTTTTAACCAAGTAGTTCCACCTGGCACATTACCAAATAGTCTCACAACACTCACATTCGGGCCTGGTTATGGTAATACCAGATATTAAAAACTACTCAGATCCAATATGAAAACAAAACTATCATCAATTTAGATCATTCGTGATACATGTTTCAAAAATTCTCAATCGACCGATAATAAACCAGATTATGTGGCAATTGATCATGTTAAACATCTTGTTTACATTATAGAAGTCTGTGTAATATTGAATTTAGACAAGCTGAAAAGCTAGATAAGTATCATTACTTTCAATGGTGCAGTAATTTCCAAAAGGTTTTGGCTGGTCTCCAAAAAAAAAAATCTATAATATCTTTTATATATTTTTTATATCTATAAAATTAGTTCATAAATATAAAAAAGATAAACGTTTATAATATTTAATAAATAACTATTTAATTATTTTATCAATTAGTTAATAAGGAAAAATCTATTCAACCAGAGAATATTTAGATGCAAACTCTGTTCATCAATTTAGTATAAATAATTTATTTATTTCTAAAAAATTTAATAATTTAAATAATAAATAAAAAAAATTAATAAAACAAGTGTAATTAAACTTTCAAAAAAAAAAAAATAATGCCCAAAAAATTAAAGAAAAAAAAAATTTTAAAGATTATATAATAAATTTTTAAAGTTAATAAAATGGTATTAATACCATTATTTTATTTATATTATTTATTTTTTATACTATTAGCCACTCTTTGTAAAGAGTGTTTCCAGCTCTACCACGGGGAGGTTAGTATATTAGAGCCGAGTGATTATTTATACCTACAGGCAGTATAAATAATCACCATATTGAAGAATTGTGGTTAATTAGTATACCACCACGCAGTATACATAATTAACCACTATATTGAAAATTAGGTAAATTTTAAAAACATAGATACCAAGCTGTCCCAACTCGGTATCTATATAATCAAAATACCTATCGAGAATTGATTACATGATCCATAGTGCTTGATATTTTTAAATGATCCAGAATACTTGATGTTTTTGAATGCTAAATAAACTTTGACATTTTTAAATGTTAAATAATATTTGATATTTTTGAATGCTAAATAAACTTTGAAATGTTTAAATGTTAAGTTATTCTTGATATTTTTGAATTCTAAATTATACTTGATGTTTTTTAATGATTGATTATACTTGATATTTTTGTATGCTCCATATTACTTGATATTTTTTAATTATCCATAATACTTACCTTATAATCATAGTTGATTGAAAACTTGATTGAATGTTATATAATATTTTATATTTTTTAATGATAAATATTATACATAATAATTGAAATTTTTTAATGATAAATATTATACATAATAATTGAAATTTTTTAATGATAAATATTATTTGATATTTTTTAAATCCTAAATAATATTTAATGATAAATATTATACATAATAATTGAAATTTTTTAATGATAAATATTATTTGATATTTTTTTATGTCCATAATACTTGATGTTATTTTTTTAATGTTATATATTACTTGATATTTTTTATGATACAATATACTGCATATTTTTAAATGCTGAATAATACTTGGTTTTTTAATGATTCAAAATAATAAAAATGCTCGATGTTTTTTAATAATCCAAAATAATTGATATTTTTTATAATTATAATATTTTTGAATGTTACAATACTTTATGTTTTAATGATCGAAAATAATTATAAAACTTGATGTTTTTTTTTTTTTTTTTTAAAAGTGAAGATAATTATAAAACTTGATGTTTTTTTTAAAAGTGAAAATAATTATAAAACTTGAAGTTTTTTAATGATCCATATAACTTTATATTTTTGAATTCTATCTAATACTTGATGTTTTTGTATCATCCATTATAATATTTTTGAATGTTGCGCAATAATTGATGTTTTTATTGATCCATAATACTTACCTTATAGTCATTATACAATTAATTTTATTATTTTCATTTATCTTTTTTAAAAAGTTATGGTATTTTAATTTGTAAAAAATTATTTTTTACCATAAAAGTTTTATATATGTTTTTTTATTATAATAAAAAAAAAAAATAAAAAAAATAAAAAAATTTTAATAATTAAAAAAATGAACAATCAAAAACAACTTAAAAAATAATTTTTATAAAATTTAAATAAATTATATAAAATTTTTTTCAATTTTTTTTTTAATTTTTTTTCAAATCTCCATAAACACATTCACATAAATAATTTTAATAGAACACAACAAATCAAAAATAACAATATAGACATTATGAAAATACCTTCAAGAAAGTAATTAACAAACAAACCTATATAGAAAATATTACTAACAAAAATTATTTTATTATGTAAATCTTGTGATTTAGAACCTGTTCTTAACTATTGATCAAGAAAAACTGTCACAATGGTTATTATATCAAATATATTTTGAAATATGGATCTCAAAGAAATTAGTACCAATTAGAGGTTCTAGTTTAACAAATAGGAAAACTATAATTAGAAAATTAAATTAAAATAAATAAAATAAATAAAATAAATTATTAAAAAAAAAAAAAAAAAAAAAAACTTAAAAGATATAATTATATATTTTATTATAAACTTTTTATTTAATATTGAAAATGTGGAAATAAGGGACTTACAAAAACCTTTTTATCTAATTTTCTTGGTAAAATTCTTTTTTTTATAAATAATATTAATTACTAGTGAATTTTTTTATGCTCTGGCTTGTGTCTGTATTCGTAATCAACATGAACAAATGCTCTATCTACTTCGGATAATGATTCAATTTTTTCTTGAAGCGATTCACCAATATCGTGGGTTTTAACTAATGGCATGTTTGGAGGAAGAACAATATCAACTTCAACATAGAGATTATTACCAACATGGAAGGCACGACATGTATCAACTTGTAGTACCTCTGGGTGATGTGTAAGAGATATATAGGTAAGTTTTTGAAGAAATTCTGGTGAAGCAGTTTTACCAACTAATAATCCCTATTGTTTTTAAAATTAAAAAAAAATTAATAAATAAATAAACAAATTAGTTTTAAATTTTATATAGTGAATACATACTATTTGTTCATATGCTTCTGATACCCATGAACGTAAAATTATAAGGGCAACTACTAAGGAGCCAATTGGGTCGAAATACCACGAGACTTTATAACCTAAAATAGCCATACCAACACCAAAGGAGTTTACTAAAATATCATTAAAGTGATCTGTTTTTAAAATCATAGCACTACTTGAATGGGTTAGTCTACGACAGTAGAAATACATTGCGACCTTGCATGAAATGGCAACAACAACAAAGATAACAGACATAATATCCAAACCAAACTCTTTATCTTGTTTAACTAGAGTTGATGTACCCTCCCAGATAAGGTTAAGCGACACTGTGGACATTAGAGATGAAAAAATAATAATTCCAATTGGCTCCATACGACTTTTACCAGTTGGATAAAGAAAGTAGTTCTTTTTCTTTCTATAACGAGCAGTCATAAATAATATAAAACCACTTAATAAATCCATAAATGCATCGACTGCAGTGGCAATTAAAGCTCTGGACCCAGTAATAATAGCAGCGGTAATTTGTAAACAGAATAACACGATATTTACCAACAATGAACCATTGATTGCAATTTTTACTTTGAAATCCTCTTCATCATCATCATCTTTATTATCTTTTATATTTATTGGTTCTAAAATGTCATTGATAAGTTCGTTTTGCTTCTTATAAAATGCTCTGGACTTTTTAGAGGAAGTTTTCATAAATTCGTCATCAACACGCGAAACTTCTAACACTTGACGTATTTGTTCTGGTTTAACATATCTATTATAAAGGCCTGGATGATTGGATCTAAACTCTAATGAAACTGATCCCGAATCATTTTCATTAAATTCCTCTATCGATTCATTATTTGATACATTTAACAATGAGTCACTATCTTTATAATTTGATTTTATATGGGTTCCCCCTGGTTCTTCTAAATTTGAGTACATTTTAAAATAAAATAAAATAAAATTATTTCTTTTTTTTTTTTTAAATAAAAATAAAATATATAATAATGATAAATAAAAAGAAATGTTATTTTATTTTTTGTTTAAATGTGGATTTTTTTTGTTTTAGCCATTTTTTATTTTTTTTGTTTAAATAAAAAAAATATTTAATTTAAAAAAATATTATTTTAATTTTTTTAAATTTTTGTACCATTTGGAACATGAGAAAAAAATAATAATTTTAATTTCTTTTATTTAGAAAAGTTAAAAAAAAATTATTAAAAATATTTAAAATTATTAAAAATATTTAAAAATGCCAGTGCGGCAAACCAAAATCTAGATTTCACCAAATTCACCACACGCACATTTCATTTATCAATACAAGTATTTTTTTATAATTTTTTATTTTTTTATTGTAATAAGTAACTTTGGTAGAATAAAATCAGTGTTTGTGCCATCATGCTGTTGGGAATAATCCAAAAAATCAAAAGTAAGATCCAAAGGTTTTGTAAGGGGTTAGTGGATAGAAAGTGTTAATTCATAGGATAATTTATAAATTGCATAAATAATGTTATTGTGATAATATTTTTTTATTATTATACATATTAGTGTATAATTTATTTAAATGTTGAGGTTAATTTTTTTTGATTTGAATATTTACAATATTATTTATAATTTTAAATCTGTCTTGATATTAATTGACTATATATACTACTTTGGGCTAATAAAGAATTATGATCACCTATTTCTGCTACTTTACCTTCTTTAATAACTGCAATTTTATCAGAGTCAATGATTGTTGATAAACGATGGGCAATAACAATGGTTGTACGACCTTTCATTGCATTATCTAAAGCTTCTTGAACAGCTTTTTCGCTAACTGAATCTAGAGCGCTCGTAGCTTCATCCAATAGTAAAATCTTTGGGTTGCAAATGATAGCACGTGCAATTGCAACACGTTGTTTTTGACCACCGGATAGATGTGTAAATTTATCACCAAGCTCTGTATTATAACCATCCTTAAATTCTGAAATAAAACCATGGGCATTAGCAGTTTTAGCAGCTTCAATAACTTCCTCCATTGTTGCATCTTTTTTACCATATTTAATATTATCTAGAATTGTACCTGAAAAAAGGAAGGGTTCTTGATTTACCAAACCTAAATTGCTTCGTAACCAATTAAGGTTAATATCCTTTATATCAATACCATCCAAAGTAATTGATCCTTCAAGTGGATCATAGAAACGCTCTAATAATGAAATTACAGTAGATTTTCCACCACCACTATCACCAACCAATGCAAATTTTTTACCCTGTGGAACTGATAGATTTAAACCATTAAATACAACTTTATTTGGACGTGATGGATATCTAAATGATACATTTCTAAACTCTATATTCCCAACCAATTGGTTTGGGGTTTGACCTTTGTTGCTAAATGGATCTATTTTCGATTCGTGATCAATTATCCTAAATATCGAGGTTGCTGATTGGCTAGCTTTTGCAATATCTGGGGCATATGACATCGAATTTCCTACACCCATAGCGCACATGATAACTGCAAAGAAGATTTTCATCATTGAGCCATAACCTTGGACGGTATTGTAAACCTTTACACAAGTATCGTAGTCACCAAAGTCATTAAAATTATTTGCTGGTATACAATAGGTTTCGATAGTTGATCTAGGTGCCTTCCATTCGCCTTCAGAGATTAGTTTACCACCATACCAATAAGTAAGACAATAAATAAAAAAAAGAGTTGCATGGGAGAATCCAAATGAAATACCACTGATATTTGATGATTTGATACTGATTTGGAGTGGTTTAATAAGATTGTTGCTAAATTTAGTTAGGACTCTATTTTCTGATGTAAAAGATGAGACTGTTCGAATCCCACCTATAGCTTCAGTTGCAACCTGACCACATTCACCATATGCACCTTTATTTTTTTTAGTGAAACCAGTAATAAAACCTACTTGGACTTTACCAGCGAATGCGAGCAAAGGTACACATGCTAACACAACCAGTGTTAGTTTCCAACCGGCAATGAATGAAATGATAAGAGCAACAATTACAGTAACTGAATTTTGAATTAAAAGGCTAAGTCTTTGGCTAGTTATACTTTGAACCATTGTGGTATCGGTGGCAAGATTGGTGGTGAGTTTACCAGTTGCGTTTTCGGGTAAATCAAACCAACCAATATCCTGACGGATAATTGAATCGAACGAGAGCCTACGTAAATTATATGTTAATTTTTCTCCAATGTATGTAAAGCAATAGTTTGATAAAAAATTTGCAAAACCAGCGACAACAGCCAACAATAAAAACCACAAAGCCATATTTCGAGCACCACGGCTTAGTTCTGATTGATCAGTCTCTTGGAAAACTTTTAATATTTCAGAGAAAATAATTGCAAATATTGGCATACAAGCACCATTAATCGAACTTCCTATAAAACCCAAAACAAAGAATGGCCAATCTGGTTTTGAAAGTTTAAGAACTCTACTAAATGGGACTGATCGTTCTTTCTTTTGAGCTGGGTTGTTAACTGTATCAGCAACAATTTCCATATTATTTACAGCGGGGCTAATAGATGATGTGGATTCAGATTCTATTACAGGGTTGGTGCTTTTATTTTCACTATTGCCAACTTCTTTCTTTTCTGTTTGTTGCCTTGTAAATAGCTCTGTATATGCACCACCAAGAGATAATAGTTCGCCGTGGGTGCCTTTCTCTACAATATGACCTTCTTTTACAACAGCAATAACATCAGAATTTATTATAGTTGATAAACGATGGGCAATAACAATAGTGGTACGACCTTTCATTAATTTATCAATAGCTTGCTGTACTAGATATTCATTTTCGGTATCTAAAGCAGAGGTAGCCTCATCGAGTAATAAAATCCTTGGGTTCTTAATCATAGCACGAGCAATAGCAATACGTTGTTTTTGACCACCCGACATTTGAACACCCTTTTCACCAACTAACGTTTCATATTTTTCTGGTAATGCACTACATTTTATTAAAAAGATAAGATATAAAACATGTTAGTATTTAAAATATCTCTTAAATATATACATATATATCAATAGCTTACCTTATAAAATCATGGGCATTTGCGACTTTACAAGCTTCAATTATTTGATCCATTGTGGCATTTTCATCCCCATAACGTATATTATCTGCTATTGTTGTAGCAAAAAGAACTGGTTCTTGACTAACCAAACCAATATTACTTCTAAGACAATTAACATTGATATCCTTGATATTGATACCATCTAAAAGAATTTCTCCACCAATAGGGTCATAGAATCTTTCTAATAAAGCAATTGCAGATGATTTGCCTCCACCAGAATCACCAACTAATGCAACAGTTTGACCTTGTTTAATTGATAAATTGAAATTATTGAAAACTTGAACATCAGGACGAGATGGATAAGCAAAGGAAACATTTCTATACTCGATATTACCTTGAACATCATTGTGTAGAAGACCTTCTGTTGAAAATGGATCAATATTTGATTTACGATTAATAACCTGATAGATCTTAAATGCAGCACCTCTACCACTAGCAAATGAAGCAAGATGAGGTGAAGCTTGACCTAAAGCCATTGCACCAGTAATAACTGAAAATATAACGGTTAAAACATCACCACCATTCCAATTTCTACCCGGTACTGGATTCCAATGCTTGTCAACAATTAATTTACCGCCATACCAAAATGATAAAGAGTAAATACCAAAAAGAACAAAAAATACAAGACCCATACCTATGCCACCCATAAGACCCTTCTTTTTACCGACCAACAAAGCTTCTTTAAGTAATTCAGAGTAACGATTGGCTTCATATCGTTCACCGGAAAATGTTGCAACAGTTCTAATTGACCCAATTTTTTCTTCAGCAACAGCACTAGCTTTAGCATATGAGGCTAGACCCTCCATGGTATATCCAATCATCATTTTGGTTAAGAAAGCTCCAGCAGCAGATATTAAGGGTGTTACTGCAGCAATGACCAAGGTCAGCTGCCAACCATAGATAAAGCCAATAACGAAACCAGCAATAAAAGTGGAGCCATGATGTAAAAAATTACCAACCTTTTCACCTATTGCTTCTTGAAATAATAGTGTATCTGATGAAATTCTTGATGATAGTTCACTGGACTTTGTAATATCGTACCATCCAATCTCTTGTCTTAAAATAGCTTTAAAATACTCTTTTCTACAACGGATTGCTTGACGTTCACCAGTTAACATCCAAAAGGCTACTTCAAAGTATGAGCAAACAAAGGCACCAATACCAATATAGACAAAGATTAAAGCATTCTTTGTAACTTGGTCCATTAGATCATAATTCGGGTCTTTAAAGTTATCGGGCGAGAAAACATTTAAAAGCCTACCAAATGCAATAGAAATTGCAGGCATAGTAGCCCCATTGGCAATGGCACAAAAAGAACCAACAAACATTAAAAGATAGTCAAATTTAGAAGAAAACCTAAACATTTCTTTAAAAATAAAATTTTTAGTATTAAATTTTAAAGTGGTAAAATTAATAAATATTTAATAATCACTATAATAAGGAATAATAGGGAGAGCCGGTGGGTCAGGTTTTTTCTTTTTCTTCATTCTATCTTCTTGTATCGGCTCGGCAGTAGTGGCAGAAGTTGTATTTGCAAAAGAAGATGAAGATTCTAAATCCTTCGGTTTTAAACCAGTCGTTTCAATTTCGGTAGTATCCCTTTTTTCGATTTCTGGCTGATAGACTCTTGAATCTATTTCTTGTGAAATATTATTTATATTTTCATCCATATTTTTTTCTATATTGATTTAAAATATTAGTTAAAATAATTTAAGATTAAAAAAAAATAAAATTTTTAAAAACAAACGGAATTAAACAATTTATTATCCTTGAGAAAAATGAACGAATATTTTGTTTTAAACCAAAAAAAAAAAAAATAAAAAAAAAAAATAAAAAAAATAAAAAAAGTATAAAAATGACTATTCTTACAACATTCTCTTCTCTTTTAAAAAAAAATAAAAATAAAAATAAAAATAAAAATAAAAAAAAAAATTTTATTTAAATATTAAACCACTTACCCCAGTTTGTCTTTATATATATAAAATAAAAAATTGTGATTTTTGAAAATATGAAAAAAAAAAAAAAATTATTAAGAAAATAAAAGTAAAACAAAACCAATATAGAATTGGTTTGTTTAATTAAGGGAAAAAAAAAAACCGTTAAAATTTGATTTTATTATTTATTTTAAAATATAAAAAATATACCTCGTTTTGGGGCACTATTTCTTACTATATTAGATTTAGATGGGCTAAATTAAAATAATTGTATCACCAGAAATGAAATGTTTTTTCTCTGAACATTAGTTTACCAAATTGTTTATTTTTGTATTTTTTTTTTTGAGCGTGGTAATTTATTTGTTTTCTTTATTTCCAATATAATTAAATTCATCATCGAAATTACTTTCAAAATCTTCACCCTTCTTACTTTTTGATCTTACTATATTTTTAATAATATGGTAATATTATTATCATTATTATTATTGTTGTTGTTGTTGTTGTTGGTCAAAGATTTAATATTAATATCGTATTATAATGAAATTGGAGTGAATAATAATTATGGTACTTACATTCGTGATATTCATTCATTGATTTTAATTCTTCTTCGCCTTGTTTTATTAATGTTTCGATTGTTTCGAAATCTCTTTGATGTACATCTTTATTTGATCTGAATTTAAGTTTGATGTATGACTCCATCATTAATTGATTTTGAAATTTAGGACATCTTTTTGCTGAATATAAACATCTTTTATATAAATTTAAAACTAATTTTTTATTTTCTTTTATGATTTTTGAGGACATTTTAATTATTAAATTATTAAATAAATAGAGTAATAACAATAATAATTATGTGAAAATCGAAAAGTAAATAAATATATCTTTTAAAAAAAAAAATGAAAAATGAAAAAAATTTTATTTTTTTTATTTTTTTTATTTTTTGAATTATTTTTTTTAAAATTTTTTTTTATTTAATTTTTTTAAATTAAATTTTTTTTTTATATTTTTATATTTTATTATTTTTTCCTCATTTTTTTCATTGTTATTATTAGATATTTTTTATTTATATAAAATAAAAATGAATACAAATAACAATACTAATAACAATATTAAAAATAATAATAGCAATAATAATAATAACAATAGTAATAATAATTTTGGGCTAGGATGGATGTCATCAATTTCAGACCAATTTAGCCAAATTAAAGATGTAATGACATCTGAAACTGGTGGATATGAAGAGTACGATAATGAAGAAGATGAAGAAATATTCATGTTAAGAACTGAGGTACTTAAATATAAAGAAGAGGTTTCAAATCTTGAAAAGAAAATTGGCGAATTTGAAGAAAGAGAAGTTAATATCTCCAAAGAGTATTCTCTAATTTTAAAAGAAAAAAATAATGAAATCAATGAATTGAAATCAATCAATGACAATTTAAAATCATCTTTAATATCACCAACAACTACAAGCAATATAAAAGAAGAACAAGAAGAAAAACCAAAAATTGATAGCGAATCAATCGGAATCCCGTTAGAAGATGATGATTATAATAATATAACCACCAATAATAACAAAAGCAAAGATACTCATCAAGACGATGCTTTTTTACTTGAACAAATTAATAAACATAAAGAAGATTACCAAAACCAAATATCATCACTACAAGAGCTTCATCAAGAAAAACTTTATTCATTAACCCAAAAGAATGAACAATTGGAAGAAAAACTTTTATCACTCGAGGAACTAAACTCAAAATTAGAAAACGAACAAAGTATGTATATAAACTTTAATACATTAACATAACAATAATAGTAAATATTAATTTTCATTTTACTTTTTTATTAGCACAACTAAAAACAATGATTGATAATTTAAAAAATCAAAATAATAACTATACACAAAATATAAAAGAACTAAATGAAAACATTGAAAGTTTAAAGATCCAGCCAACAACTTCAAATGATCAAAGTAAAAAAGATGATACCTCAGCAGATAGTGAACAAATTAATATATTAAAAGAACAAATAAATAAATCAAACAAAGAACTATCTAGATTAAGACAACATCTTATTGATATGGAAGAACAACATACAACAATAGATTTAGAAAATGAAGAAAAAATTTCAAATTTAGAAAAAGAGTATAGGTTATCACTATATTATATTATCGATTATAATTACTATTTTAAATTCTTTTATTATTAACTATTTACTCTTTTAATTTTAGATTAAAAAAATCAATGGAACACAACATAAACTCGAGCCTAATGAATGATCAAATTAACAAATTAAAAAACGATGCTATCGAAAAAGATGAATTAATTAGACAAGCACATGTACAAATCAATAATCTTAACAATGTTTTAGAGCAATTCCAAGCAGAACAAGAAGCAGTTATTAGAACCGAAGTTATTCATTTAGAGGAGAAATTAAAAGAATCATTATCAGAAATTGAAGATTTAAAAAAAGATAAGGAAGAATATATCTTACTTCAAAAGAAATACCAAGACGCTCAAAGTCAAATTCAAATTTTATACCAAGATATTCAAAACAAAACTTTGGAATATATTAAATTAAAAGAAGATATTGAACCACTAAAAGCTGCTTTTGATAAAAATATTTTAAGATTGGGTGATATGTGTCTTCAAGAACAAGAATCTGTTGATAAGTATGTATCGTTGTTACTTTTATACACCAATCCATCAAAAAAATACTAATATAATAAATTGTCTAGGCGTGTTGTTAGTAAATTACTCCTAAACTATTTTAGAGGTAATAAAAAGGCTGAAATTTTAGAATTAATTGCAAAAATATTAAACTTTAGTGAAAGTGAAAAAATATCTGTATGTATAATTATTTAATTAAATTTAAACTACATAATAGCTAATCATTTTATTATTATTAATATTTAGATTGGTTTAACCAAAAGAAATCAATGGTCATTAATACCTCCATTCTTTGGTGGTAATAAGGAACAAGCAGGAGAGGATGGTGATAAACCTTTAGCTGAAATGTGGATCGAATTTTTATTAAAAGAAGCTTCAGGTGAAAATTTAAAGAATCAAAACCCAGTTAATACAGTAGAAATAAACAATAATGAAGTCAATACTACAACCCTTCCACCAAATAATATTAATAACTCTTCCAATTCAAATCCAACACCTTTTTCCACACCCGTTAAACAACCACCACCAAACTTTTCATCACAAGTACCACCATCATCACCCTCAACACCTTACAAAATGAATAGTAATTATTTTAGTGTCACTCCCAATGGAAAGAATAAAACAAGTACAGTTATTTTCGATGGTGATATGAACGATCCATTTAAATAAATAAAAAAACAATAAATTAATAATAATAGCAATAATAAAAGTATTTTAATACTTTTACCAATTACATATTTAAAAAATGTATAAATATACAAACAAAAAGATAAAATAAAATTCAATTTTTAATTTTAATTTTTTTTTTTTAATGAAATAATACAAATTATTTATTAAAATTTATTTTTTTTAATTTTATTTTATTTTATTTTTATTTTTATAATTCTAAAACAATTTGTTTTAGATAAATAAATACAAGAAAAAAAAAGAAATAGTTAAGATGAACCACTTTCTGAAAATGAATTTACATTATTGTTGTTATTATCATCATTTTTTTGGAATCTAACTAAAATGAATAATCTATCATCTTCACGCAACATTGTTGATGGTGTTGGATTTGTTAAAACATAACGAGTAGTTTGATTTGAAATGTCATCTTCTAAATGCTGAGGTAAACCCAATACTACTGGATTGACTGGTGCTTTTTTATTGTAATCTGCACCACATGATGTATTACTTGAATGAGTTCTGAATAATGCTATGCAAATAATATTAGATTCGACCAAACTTTCGAATAAGTAACCAAACCTATGGTGATAAAAGTGCTCTGGGAGAGGAACCTGGAATACTTTAGTACAGCTTTTTGTTGAATTATCTGGGTTCATACCTACCAAAACACTTAACATTGATAACAAGTGTGGATTAAAGAAACATTGGCATAATAAACTATCAAATACTGAACTTAAGAAAACATTACCTGCTGCGAATGATGGTGCGTGATAAAATGGTTGGTTTTGTTTCCAATTACTATTACCTGGTAAAAATTTCATATTTAATGGTTCAGCTAAAATTTAAAATAAATAAAAAATTAATATTTTATATAAAATTATCTTTTTTTTTGCTAAAACTTACAAATTTCATAAATTGGGAAAATATTTGTATTTCTTTTTGAAACCTCTTTTAGGCAAACCATTGCTAATAATGTTTCACGATCGTTGAATATTAATTCACTTGAATTTGCTTCGTTTGTTAATACTACAACCTTTGAGCATTTATAAACACCGGCTCTTTTAAGATCACTGAATTCATAACCTTTACCCTCGACTACATAAATTTCTGGGTAGCATTCAATATATTTCCATTGATCTTCGGTTAACTTTGGTGTTAAAATAACAATTGGGTCATAACGACGCACATGGCTTTCTCTTAGTGGTGAAATGAAATTTTCTATACAATCTACATTGGAACCTGCAATAATTATATGGTTTTGAATATTATCCATTGTTTCTACACTATCTACAATGCATTCATCCAAGAAATGAGAACTCCAAAAACGTTTTGGGATTCTAGTTGATGATAAATCATTTGATGGAGCAGTCGGGATATCCATGACACTGTGGAATGATGATGTGTTGGTTGATGTTGAATTGCCAGGTAATGGTGGTTTAATAGTTTGATGTGAATGAATATCGAGCTTTTGACCCTGACTCTTTAACAATTCAAAATTATCATCACCGCTACTGTAATTACTATCATTTTTATGGATTGTAGTTGTATTTTCATTTGAAAGATCTTCATCGCTGTTTAAAATATCTCTTTTCTTTTCCATAATTAATTTTTTTAATGTTTTTTTATCATTTTTTTTAACTTTGGTCTTTGGAACAAATTTTAATTTGCATCTAAAGAAAACAATAAAATAATTAGTATGAATATATACAAAAGTAAATAGAATTTAATATGCATTTGACTTACTGATAGGTTTTTTCTATTGAGCTATACTCCCAAACCAATTTACAATCTTTATCGAGAATACCAATTTCTGTATTTCTTTGATGGGTTTGTTTTAAAGATTCGATTTTTCTTTTAATTAATTCAGTACCACAAAATTTAATTCTTTTTGACTGTAATTTATTTTTTGCCAATAATACACCAAATGTACCTTCTCTAATAATGAATGAATTCTTTGGATTAACTTTGATTCTTCTTTTATCACCCACTTGAATCTCAACACCAAAAACAATCATTCCAAATGATTCGTAAACCAACTGTACAACTTGTGAAAAAGTTAAACCAAAGAATGCTGGTGCGAAAGGTTGTGTGAAAATTTCATAACTATTACCACTTGCATATTCATCATCATCGTTATATTTTTCTAAATCTGATCTTAATAAATTCATAACTAAAGTAATAAAACCTGGTGAAATACATGATTGAGCCAATAAACTCTTTTATTTAAAAAACAAACCATTAGTAATAATAAATTAAAGGTATAATAATGTGATGAACTTACCATTTTTAACTCTTGTACCGAAATAACTTGGGTTGCACCAGCAGCAATCATTTTTCTTTTTAATCTAGGGATCATAGCCTGTGCGAAAATTGGAATATTTGGATTAAATGATCTAATTGACATTACTCTTAAGATATTTTCATTATCATCATCTTGAGAACCTGTTAAAGATTTCTGTGAGAAAATAAAAACCGATTTTGATCTTTCTAATTTAACTCTTTCTACATCGATTTGATTACCAATTGAACCTTTAAAGAAAAAGAATCTCTTTTTAATTTTATTTAAAACTGAATCCCAAAATTTAGGTGGGTCCGAACTGCTTAATACAATAACAGGCATTTCACCAATTCTAGACTATAAATAAATAAATTAATAACTCTATTGCTTATATAATATAATATTTTAAATAATAATAATAATACGTTACATTAAAGAAAAATTCTTTTAAAAATGTTGTAAATGAACTTTCATAAATATTACCGATGACAGTAACGAATTTCTTCTTTTGCGATGGTCTATATTCACCATTCCAAACTTTTGTTGCTGAAAGTACACTAACTAATTTGGATGTTTGAATTGGTAAATATGCTAAAGCAATCATAATCATTAAAATTGCAACCATTCTACCTAAAACTGATTTTGGTGTTATATCACCATAACCAACTGTTGATAAAGATACAACTGCATAGTAGATCGAGTCGTGGAATTTAATTTTTTCTATTTCACAAATCATTGATGCAAATAAAATAATTAAAATTACAATAGATAAAATTAACTGTACCAATTGCTTTAATACACCTATTTATAAATAAAAATTAATTTATAAACTATATTAATATTTAAATGATTTTTTAAAAGACATTGTATAATGATAGAATGATAATTACTTGTTGCACCATGAAGTTTAAATAATCTAGGTGCTTTTAAAATTCTTAAAACACGCAAAAAACCTAAAGGTGTTACAGGAATGGTTGGTATCATTGTAATTAAAATTGGGACAATGGTAATAATATCTAAAATGGTATTTTTCTTTTTAAAAAACTTTAATCTTTTGAAATTATAAAAACAAATTAGTTTTCAAAATATTTTTTTAAATAAATATAAACTTATAACCTACTTGTCTTTTGCAAAAATGAAATTTCTAATAAAATCAAAGCAGAAATAAGCAGAAATGGCAACCACTACATGATTGATTGCTCTGACATCTTCATTATTATCGATTTCGGCCTGTGTTGTTGGGTTTGATACTGGATTTGGTAAATATGAAAGCAAAATAAAAAGACCTATCGAAACCACACTAAGAAAGATATTTATATGTTCCAGTATAAAATCAATTCTTTGGTATGTATCTTTATATGCTTTTAAGTACAGTCTCTTCTTTTTATCCTCCTCATAGTTGACTATATCATTATTTTCGAATGAGTTTTCGTCTAAATGAGATGTATCTGAATCTGTATCACTCTCCTCTCCATCGGGATAGAGTGCTGTTACGCCCAATACTGCATCTTTTTCGTGCTCTTGTAATTGTTCGTAAACTTCGTTTTGATCCCTGAATGATTCATTATAGAATGACTGTTTCATATTAACATACCCATCATCGTCGAACCTTGACCTATTGAAATCGACTTTGGGTATCTCTTTTCCACTATTTAAATTCGGACTATTTGGTTGGTAACTTGTTTTTCTTTCTCTCAATACTGCTGCTGAACTATTATTTAATCCATTGTTATTATTGTTATTATTACTATTATTATTATTACTATTGTTCGGATAATTTTTTTGATTAGTGTCCATTTTTTTGATTTTTTTTTTTTAATTTTAAAAAATTTAAAAAAAAAATAAAAAAAACTAATTAAAATAATAATTTATTATTTTTAAAAATTAATTTTATTTATTTATCTATTAAATATTAAATATTATTAATAATATTTAATGAAAATAAAAACAATAGAATTAAATAATTTTACTATTAATTATAATTATAATAATATTAGTATAATATTTTTATTTTTATTTTTTTTTTGATAAAGCTAAAAATAATTTATTGACAAAAATAAAAAAAAACAATTTTCCACCTTTATGTTACAAAAATAAAAAAAAATAACAAAAGAAAAATATTTTAAAAAAATAAAATGAATATAAAGATATCGAGAAAAAATTTAAATTTTTTTTTTTTTTTTTTTTTTTTTTTTTTTTTTTTTTTTAAATTTTTACTTGGATTGGCTTCGGTGGTTAAACCTGGTCTAAAATTTTATTATAATAGTTTGATGATTACAATAACGATGATTATAATTTGGTGCATACACAATACAGTTTTTTTTTGAAAAATAAAATATTATTGTGACAATAGCCTATAGTATTTATAAATGTTGAAGAAAAAAAATCTAAAAAAACAATGAGATATATATAATTTGAAAAAATACATTCTAAAAATAATTTTCTACTTTGTATATTTTAAAAAAATAAAAAAATAAAAAAAATAAAAAAAAAAAAATGAAATGAAATGAAACCCCCAAATAAAAAAAAAATAATAAAATAATAAAAAAAAAGAATTTGTTATTATTATAATTCATATAAAATAATAATAAACAAATAATTTTTTAATAAAATATTTTTAAAGAATTTAAATATATAAAATTTAAAAAAAAGAATTTTTTTTTTTTTTTTTGTTTTTTTTTTTTTTTTTTTACAAGATTAGATTTAATTATTAAATAAAATAAAAATGAAAATTAATGTTTATAATTATTATTTTTGAGTAATACTGTATTGTGTTACAATATTATGATAAAATAGTTTATTTTTAAATAAATATTTTTATTTTTTTATTTTTTTTTTTTTTATAGTTCTATCTATTGTTTATTAACTGATGAGGAAAGGGAAATTATTTTTATAGTGTTTAAATAAAATGAAAAAAATGAAAAAATAAAAAAGAAAAATATTATCATTATTATTATTATTACTATTATTTATTTATTATTATATAAATATATTACAATTATGATAATGACTTTGATTATGATTTTGGGGGAGGGGAATATTATTATTATTTTATAATATTGTGTATTTTTTTTTTTTTTTTGATAAATTATTTTTCTAATAACTTGTCAAATTTTTTTTGATCTAAAATTATTGAATGAATTTCATCAAATAATTTTTCTTCTGAAATTTTTCTTTGAGGTAATCTGTTGAATAAATCTATACATTCATCATAGTTGGCAACCTGTAAGTCAGAGATAAAGTAACGAAGAATTGAGAGAGCAGTTCTATAGATGAAAATCTCACCTTCAATGAAAACCAAATCCCAAATACGGGTCGCTATATCTAATGGTAAGGCCTTAGAGAATAGAGTTGTAATCCAATCCGATAAATAGTTCTTTGCAGATATACCAATCTCTTTAAAGTGTTTATGAAGCGATGGAACTAAAGCTTCGACCGTTGAATCCATAGCATTTAGATATTTTGGAATTCCAGATGGATCTTGTCTAAAGAATGGAAGAAAACAAACACTGTTGACATGGTTGGTTAAACAAATAAAGGCTTCGACTTTATCCATATTTAAAAGGAACATTGCTGCTAAAAATGTCATACCTGGTACATAACCAATATCTGGACGGTAGCAAATGTATGCACCCAAAACATCGATTAAATCGCTATGCAATGGACCATTTTTTTGAAAAATCATTAACTGTGGGAATGTATCTTGAATATCCTGTAAAATTAAATTCATATTGGTAGTTTCTAAATCCAATACATCATCGCCCCCTATACCATCGGACGACATATTCATTGGTGATCTAGTGTGCTGAATTGAATTGTGGGCCTGTCTTAAATCTATATTTTGGTTTCTATTATTGTTATTATTATAGTTTGCATTTCTTAATTCTGGTGATGTGGTTTTATTATATGCATTATTGGCGTGACCTAAAAATATATTAAAAAGTTCGTCGGTGACCCTAAGATCGTTCCCAATACAAAGTTTCCAAACCTTTCCTCTAACAGCAGGTGGTAAGCCTCTCCATGCAATCTCTTTAATTCTTCGTATATCTTTCTTTTTCTTCTCCCAATTTGGTATAATTTCATCCTCCCAAATCTTTCTTGCTTCAATTAATGATTTCTCCTTTTCTTTACGAAGACTATCAAGTCTTTGTTTTTCTTTTTCTTCTTTTTCCAATGTTTTCTTTGCCTTTAATTGAATCTTTTCATACTCTTTTTGATGCTTTAAAATCTCTTCTTGTGTTTTGGGTGGTAATGTGCTTGGTCTTTCTAACAATGATGTTGGGCTTAAAATTAATTTTTCAACTCTACCAGTCGATACTAATTCTTTATATGCTGTTGGTAATTGTTCATCCTTTTCTGTATTGGTGGCTGGTGGGGTTGTATTTGTTGGTAATAAAGAGTTATCGTTTAAACCTGACATATATTATATTTTATTATTTAATTTATATAATTTATATAATTTAATTTTATTTTTATTTAAAAATTATTATCGCCTATTTATTAAATTTTTATATTAAATGATTTAAATAAATATATAATGCATATATTGCTCAAAAAAAAAAAAAAAAAAAATATTTTAGATTTGTTTAATAAAAAAAAATTACAATTAAAAAATTTTGTTTTTAAAAAAAAAAAAAAAAAAAATTAAAATAAAAAAATTAAAAAAAATTTTTTTTTTAATTTTTTTAATTTTTATTATAATCATAAGAAAAAAGGAAATTCTAAGGTTATTAGGGGGTTTCTGAAATATAAAGTTGTTGTTGAATGGCTATAAAAAAATATAATTTCAACGAAAAAAACTAATGCTATTAAATTGTTGTTGTGACAATTTATAGCTATATTTGAGACATTTTATTTTAATAAAAAGAGAGGGGTTTAAATTTAAAAATGGATTTGGATTTGGATTTAGAATTATATTTTGAAATTGTTTGTAGATTAATATAATACCAATATTTTGGGGTGTGTGTTTTTTTTTTGTGTGGAATTGTTGTGATCGAAATAATAAAGAGTGTTCCAAAAAAAAAAAAAAAGGAAATATCAAATAATCAGAAATAAAAACAAAAAAAATCTATTTTATTTTTAAATTTTATTTTACAAAAAATAAAATATAAAAATAATTAGGAAAATAGTAATAATGAATTTTTGTATAAACAAAAGATAATAATTAAAGGGGAATTTAGATATATTTTAAATTTTTAAAAATAGTTTATTTTTTTTGAATTTAATTTTTTTAAATGAAAGAAAAATTAGTGTGGTTAAGTCCTAATTATTATTTACAATTTGTTGATTATTTTAAAAATAGATTATTTAATACAAAAAAATTTACATTTTATCTTTATTTTTTCCAATTTTACGAAGGTTTTTTTTTTGAATTTTTTTTTTTTATATTTGTATTTTAAATGGTTTCACTTATACCTGAACTGGTAAGGAAAAAAAAATACATAAAAAAAAAAGTTATATGTACAAATTCAAAATATTTCCATTTTATTTTTGAAATAAAATAAAACAAAAAAAAAGATGGATGGATAATAAAAAATAACAAAGAAAAAAACTTTCTTTTTTTTTTCTAATTTTATAATTTTATTTTTTTATTTTTTTATTTTTTTTTTTTAAATTTTAATTTTTTTTTTTTTTTTAATTTTTTTTAATTTTTTTTTTTTAATTTTTTTTTTAATTTTTTCAAAAATTTATTATTTTTATTATTTATATATATATTTAAGGCTATACCACATCAATATAATTTTATTTTTGTTTTTTTTTTTGTTTTTTTTTTTTTTCATTTAAAATCAATCACACACACAATTCAGATTTATGGCAATAATAATATAGCTATAATAAATTACCTCACAATAATATTACGTTTTAAAAAAATTAATTAAATAATAATAAAAAAAACACATTTTTTTAGAATCATAGTTTTTCGTTTTAATAAAAAATTTTAGTTTTTTATATTTCAATAAAATTATAAATAAATAAATAATAACCATAATTAAATAAATAAATAAATACAATTTTTTAAAAATGAACGAGGGATATAGAAAAGATATAATAAGATATTTATCAGTTTTAAATAATTTAGGTGGATGTCATATAGATACAATTAATGGATTTTTACAAAAACCCTCTTATATTGGAGCAAGTCCACCAGTATCTCTTTTTCCATCAAGCGATGGAAAATCGATTGGAGATGCACTATATCAATTATCAATAGTTTTAGAAAGAATGACAGATAACGAATTTGATGATACAACATTTTATCATTCAAAACAATTAAAGAGTCCATTAGGTCCAGAAGAAGTGCGTAGATTAAATGAAATCTCTCTTAGTGCTAAAGTTACACAGGATTATATGAATACAATTGGTAGAGTTTTTCAATCATACCAACTATTTGAACTTTTATCATCATTAGAGGAACAACACATTACATTAATCTCAAAAGCACTCACATCAATTTTCCCAATGGATCAATCAATTACCAACGACATCTCAACATCAAAACAAAAAAACTATCAAGGAATTATTGAAAAAATCAAACAACTTTTTTCGCGAACTAAAATCGAATTATTTTTACATCTAAGAGAGGAAATAGAGGAGAGTCAAAAGAATCCTCATAAATCATCTATCAGCCAAGCCACCATTTTAGATACCTTAGATATAAAAAGCAGTGAATACTATTTGGCATCTGCCCTCAGACAATTATTATCCACCGATGAAAACTCTCTTACTACTCTTGTAAATGAATTACGAAAAATTCAACCATTACAAATTACTCAATTATCACTTTTACCCTTCAAAGACTTTTACCAAATTTTAGATTTACAAGCAAACTTTATTCAAATGGCAAATACATATCAATTCTTTAAAGAGGATTCAAATAGTCAATTCAACATATCAACTGCATCAGAAATTAAAATGCCCTCCACACCTGAAATTAAAATTGTTGACCAACCACCCGATAAAGCAATTTATAAAAGAAATGTTAAACCAGCACCATCTGTTTCTTTCCAAGGCGATTCAAAAGATTTAGATGGTAATTATTATGTTAGTGTTGCTTTATTAAGGTAATTATAAATAATAAATAATAAATAGTAAAGAAAATAACAATTATATTAATCTTTTTTTAAACTTTTTTTAGATGCAATGATTTTAGCGAAGAACCAACATTTTTAAATGGTGCCAGTAAACCAACTAAAATCACAAATGGTAAAATTGTTACTTTCAAAAAATTAAAGGTTATGGTTACAAGTCATCAACAAGGAGAAACATTATTTTGCTTTAGATTTGATTTAAGACGTTACTCTTCAGACCCAGAAACCAATCCAAACGATTTTGAGATTGTTTCATCAGTTCACTCTAGTCCAATTTCAATCCTTTCACACTCAACTCAACTTAAAAGTACCGCTATCGCTGATCTTCCAAAAGTAACTGAGGTTTTCCCATTGTCTGGTCCATCAACTGGCGGAACAAGAATATGTTTATTAGGTAGTAATTTCGCTGATACACCTGCTATTCGTTTAAAGTTTGGCAATGTTGAAATACAACCCGAATTCTTTAGTGGTGGTACATTGGTTTGCAATGCACCAGAGCATCCACCTGGTACTGTTCAAATTAAAGTTTCAAATTGCCAAAATCAGTGGAGTGTCACCTCTGCAACCTTTACTTTTGAAGATACAAATACAATCAATCCCTCCTCAAATATTTCATCAGACGCACTCTCAAATATCCTCCCAGAAAGTGTATTTGGTTTAGATTTTTCAAAAACTTTTGACACAAATTTCATTATAAAAGGTTTGGAAACTGCATCATCCACTTTACCCTCGTCAAATGGTGCTCATAGAAATTATTCAAAACAATATTGATAAAAAAAAAAAAATAGAAAGAAATTGGAAAAAAAAAAAAAAAAAAAAAACAAACACCCAAACAACAAATAATAACAATAACGCTCAAATCACGTATTACACCTCTAATATTCAAGAAAAAAAAAAGAAAATTTTAAAAAGTTTTTTTTTAAACCAAATTGTTTTTATAATTCCTCTGTCACTTATTAAAAAAAAAAAGAAAAAAAAAAAAAGGAAAAAGAAAAATTTAAAAAAAAACAAAAAAAAAAAAAAAGCTGTAGTAAAAATTATTAAATAATAGTTTTAATAATAATTGTAAATAATAAATAAAAGTAAACTTTAAAAAAATAAACAAAATTTGTCTCTTTTTCATTTTTATTTTTCAAAAAAAAAAAAATCTAAAATATCTTTTTAACTAATCAACTCATTAATCTATATTACCAAAATTAATTCCATTTTAATTAAAATGTATTGATTGTTTTTGTTTTTAAAATTTTTTTTTTTTTTATTTTATTTTTCGGATTTAAATATAATTTATATTATAGTGATATTTTACAATACAACTTTTTTCTTTTTTTTTAAACATTAGTGAAATAACCCATTGAGACTACAAAAGTACCTTCTGGAGTTTGTGAAACGACTTTTTGTTGGCTAAGATCGATTGAGATGAATTGTAAAACAGCGTTATAGTTAACGGTGGCATAGAGAATGTTTTGGTGGGCAGCGTGGGTGATGACATTAACTTGATCGGCTGGTGAGAAAATACCGAGTGGTTTAACAGCACCGGTTTCTGGGTCAATAATGGCGTAATCTTGACCAGAGTTACCGTTTGAATCAGTGACAACAACATTACCAACAATTTCGTCTAAAGCTGGAATGTAAAGAAGGTTGTATGGACCTGAGGTAACTTGTTGTGGGATAATTAATTCGACATCACCAATGTGTTGGGCTGAACGAGTATCGAATTTTGATAAAGTGGTTTCTGAAGTTGAGGCAGTGACAACATAATAGGTATGGTTGTAGGTTGAAAGACCAACACCGATTAAAACACCTTCAACATAACCATAAACATCATATGAGGCTGAGGCTGGATCCATTTCACCAACAATGTAGGTATTATTGTTAGTTGGAATACATACTTTTAATGAATTAACGTCACTATCATATCTAAGACCTTCGATTTGACCTAAATTGCTTGGAATTGGGACAAAGTAGATAACTTTATTTTTGGCAACATTGACGGTAACTAAATATTCGGTCTAAAAATAAAAAAAATAAAAAAAATAAAAAATAAAAAAATTAGTATTGATGGAATTAAAAAATTATATTTTTTTTTTTTAAAAAACTTACACCATTTTGGGCTAAAACGAATGTCATAATAGTGGTTAAGTTATTCATGGCACTGTTATCTGGACGGGTATTAACGAAATTTGGGAATTCTAATTTCAATGAGGTTTGACCTTGTTGGTTAATAACACCAAAATTGGCGATGTTATTGGTTTGCCATACACCGTATAAATTTCCTCTAACGATTGAAATTAATGCTAAAAATGCAACTAATAATAAAAATCTCATTTTATCTATCTCCTATAAAATTTATTATTACAACTATAAAAAAAAAAAAAAAAAATTCCAACGAAAAAATTTTTTTAAAAAATAAAAAAATTTAAAAAATAAAAAAAAAAATAAAAATAAAATAAAAAAAAATTTAAAAAAAAGATATTTTTATTTCCGTAATCAAAAAATTGAAAGCAATTATACAATCATTCAATTGTATGATTATACCACAATACAATTATACAATTGTGTAAAAAAAAAAAAAAATTCTTCCAAAAAAAAAAAATAGAAAAATTAAAATTATCATGTGGTTTGTTTTAAATTAGTAAAAAATAAAATGAAATAATTTTTTTTTTTTTTTTTTTGGACCAATTTTTGATTATGATGGTTTTTATTTTTTTAATATATAGGGTTAAATATGGTTACAATTTATTTTTTTTATCTTTTTTTAAAAAATAGTTATTGTGGTATTGTTTTTAATTGAATTATTGGACACCAAACATGCCAAGTAAATTTTGTAAACCACCTGGGAAACCTTTACCAACAGCGATAAATGACCAGTTTTGTGGGTTGGCTGGGTCACGATAGACCTCACCGACAACCATTGAGGTATTATTACCACCTTCAGCAGTAAGATCAAATCTACAAATATTTCTACCGGTTTCTTGGTTGGCAATACGAATGAAAGCTCTTGGGACCATTGAAAAGTTTTGTCTTCTTTCATCTGGCATGTGAATTGAAACAGTGAATACTAAACGGGTAACATCTGGAGCAACAGCTTGTAAATTTACTAAGACAACTTCATCATCACCTTCACCTTGACCACTATTTTAAAAAATAAAAATTAAAAAAGTTAATCATTGCGTGTTTCGATCAACTGCTAGTTATAATTTTTCTATACATACGTAAGGTTATCACCTTGGTGAACAACACTGCCATCTCTAGCTTGTTTATTATTGTAGAAAATGAAATCTTGTGAATTACGGACTCTACCTTGGGCATTTAACATGAAAACACTTGCATCTAAATCGAATGGTGCAGTTGGAGTGGTATTAACATCCCAACCTAAACCAACAGTAACCTTTCTTAAGGTTGGATCTTCTTTAGTTAATGAAATTTGTTGATTCTTTACTAATGAAACACCTGAACCTGTTGGTGGTGGTGGGGCACCATATTGGCCTGCAGCTTGTGGTGGTGGGGCACCATATTGACCTGCGGCTTGTGGTGGTTGTTGTGGTGGATATGCACCTGCTTGTGGTGGTGGTGGATATGCTCCTGCTTGTTGTGGTGGTGGTTGTTGTGGTGGGTATGCTCCTGCTTGTGGTGGTTGTTGTGGTAAGAATTGGTTGGCTTGTGGATTAGGATTTGAGACACCTGGAGTTGATGATGGTTGTCTGTAATAGTTATTGCCAGAGTTGCTTCCTGATGGTGGTGGTGGGTTATACATTTTAAAAAAAAAAAAAAATTTGTGTTTGATAATAAATAAAAAAATTAAATAATAAAACAAAAAACAAAAAACAAAAAAAAAAAAAGATATTGTATGGAAAAAAAAAAAATTAAATTAATTTATAAAAAAATAAAATTAATAAAAAAAAATTTTCAAATAAAAATTTTTTATTTTTTATTTTTTTTAAAATAATAAAAATTTCAATTTTTTTCCCTCTTTATTCATTTTCATACCTGATATATAACCCTTGTTCTCAGCACCAAACTGCAAAAAATTTCATTTTTTTGTGTTACATATAAAAACAAAAAACTCAAATATTTAAACAACAAATAACAAAAAATGTAAAACTATACATTCAAAAAATAACATTAACACAAGATACATTTTTTATTTTTCTAATAGTCCATAGCAAAATTAATTTTTTATGCAGCAACTTCATAATGGTTTATTTATGAAAAATAACTGTTATCTAATATATTTAAATTTTTCATTCCAACCTTTTTTTTTTTAAAATTTTTTTTAATAAATAAATAAAATTTATCTAGTTTCTTTTGTTGCTGATTTAATAGATTTAAAAATATTTAGTAACAACAATAAAAAGAATTATTTAAACAGTTATATAAAAGAAAAAAAAAGAAACAAAAGTACCAACAGTCAAATTTAAAATAATAAATAATAAAATACTATAGTCTTACAATAAATAAATACTTCCCTATATCTTCCAAATATATAAAGATAGTTTAAATAAAGTGAATACAAAATTGAAATTCTATAATATTTTGCTTTCTTTCTTCTGAATTATTCTCTTGCTGTTGTGGGGTATTTTTGGAGATGTTAAGTATTATAAATATAAACTTTGAGTTGATATTTTTCACCTATATTTTCTTTTTTAAGAATAGGCCAATGTTCTAGGGATAGACAATTTGCAAATGGTTATTATAAACAAATTTTTTATTTTTTTTTTATTTCTTTTATTTTTATCACTTTTTTTTTTTTTGAATGTTTTGTAATATTATTTCTTTTAAAAGTTTAGTTTTTATCAATGGGACAGTTCTAATTAGATTCAATTACGCATAGCTCTTCTTTGGAATTTGATTTTTTTGGATCACCAAAATTTTTATTTTTATTTTTAAATTTTCTTCTATAGAATATAATGGAGATGGTAGCCAAAATTATAGAAACACTTGGTATGATGGTAGATAATAAAATTATTTTTAATTTATTCCTATATGGACCTCTGAATTTAAAAAGAAAATTGTATTAATAAAAAATTGTGTTAATGGTTTATCATTTTTAGTATCATTACATATCGTTATAATGGGAAATTTGTAATGGGAAAACGGAAAAATCATGTGTATAAACATGATTAATATTTGCACCGTTAAAATCAGCGACCTTTTTTATATTGTCATAGTCTTCAGGATAGTCCGGTTCATCAATGTAAATATTAGAAATGTAGTTAAAGTTAGTAAAGTTAGTAGAGTTTAGGTTGCATAAAAATGATTTAATTTCTAAAGGTTTTATAAAAATAATATTGTTACCAATATTGTTCCTTTTTTCATTATAAAAATTATTATAGTTATATTCTGATTCACCCGATTTGATTGGAAAATTAGCGTCAATGAAATATTTATCTAGATAATAAAAAATTTAAAAATTAATTAGCATTTTTTATATTAATTTTTAAAAATATTAAGTTAATATTAGTAACCCTTGATTTTGGAATCATTCTGATCTTGTTTCATTTCTAAAAAAGTTAAACCAGTTTCATTTAAATTGAACATGGAGGAGTTTTTAAAGTATTGATCTAAATGAATTTCAGTTTCACCATGGTTTAAATTAAAAAATCTTAACCCTAAATAATTGTTATTGAGAATTGGTTTTAAAGATAAAAAATGAATGTTACTTGGGAGATCATTGAGTAGTAATGGTGAGTATGTTTGTTTATAATCGTTTTGATAGTTTGATATATTGGTAAAGGTTTTAGTTAAATAGATGGGTTGGTTATCAATTTGTAATGATAATCTCTTTTGATTTTTAACTTGGTTGGTAATTGAATCTATATTTAGATATAGTTTTCCATCGACTCTTGATGTATCTTTTGATGGCCAAGAAATACCTTTTGAATCATCATTGTCCATTGTTCTATGTAACATAATTTCTAATTGATTTTTTGATTTTAAAGTGCATCCTAATGATCTATCTACATATACAGAAAATTGTTTGTTGTTTGTTTCATCTTTTATATGGGTATAGTGAATTGAGGGATAATAGTTTGATGCTATTGGTCCATTTTTATTAATTACTCTTTTTCTGGATTCAATACCATTGTCAGTATAAAATTCATCTTTTTCATTTTTTACAGAGTTAAATTTGTATTGGATGACTTTTTCTTTATTCATTTCCCCGACAAAAGAATAGCTAGTTTCTAAATATTTTTCGGTAAATAAAAGATCAGTACCTGGGTCACTTTTATAAACTCTTTGATTTATAAAAGAAATTTTTTCGCAGTTGTTTGAGTTATAAACCATTGATAGTTGTGAAACTAATGGCCCTTCATATAATAAATAATAGTCTGGTCTGTTTAAAAAAGATTCTTCTTTACCTGCTTTAAAAATATATGGACCACTTTTCTTTGATTTATATTGTTTAAATGTTTGTGAAACCATTTCTTCCTTACTATTATTTGTTTTTTCATTTATTGATTTTAATAAACCATTTGATTTTGAAAATTTCCATTCCATTATTCTATTTTTGAAAATTATATCTGAATCTAAGTTAATTTTTTTGTTACCATAATATATATTATTTTTTTTGTTATTTTTTTTCGTTGTTAAATAAAATGTGGAAAAACCTAATGAAGGGACTGTAACTATGGAGTATAATAAATATTGATTTAGACCATAAAAACATTCATTTGAATACTCTAAAGAGTTAATTTGAATTTTAACTTCATTAAAATTAGAATCATATAATTTTAAATTTTCTATTTCTTCTGGTTCATAAGAAAAGAGCCTAAATGATATGTGTTGATGAGATTCCCAGCCCAATGAGTTAAATAATTTTATTGAGTAGTTTTTATTTTCCCCCAAATATGATACATCAATAAAATTATTAAAATGATAATTATTTTCATACCCAGTTTTTAAAATAGGACTATTGTTTTTTTGTTTTAACAAAGCATTATATAGGTTTGAAATAATATTAAAGGAAAGTAGTCTACATTCTTTTAATTTTAAAAACATATCAAATAGAACATAGCTTCTTGATGTTCCAGTTATAATATCATGATGTTGAGTTAATGATACCACTTCTCTAATTTGATTAATATCTGATTCAATTTGGTTTTGGTCATGGTAAAATTGTGTTTTGGATAAGCCATATAGAGAATCTACTACTCGTAATAAATAGCTAACATCTCTAATTTGTTTTTTTAGTGTTGGTCTGGTGGTATAATAACCAGACCAGTATTCTTCTTTGCCAGTATTATATGGTAAAAAATCCTGCTCCACTTGGCCCAACTTAATATTATTATTAATTAAATCAGATTTTAAAGAGTCAAAATAATCTGAAAGAGTTGAATAATTAATATATTCTATATCATATTCATCTTTTCTATCTTGAATATATTGTATCCATTCTTTTGATAATAAAAATTCTTTATTTGCATTGCTATATTTGAAATCATCACCTAAATAAATATAATTGTTAGAATAGAACTTATATCTATATAGAATAAATATAACATACCTAAGGGAATAATTAAAGTTTTGGTGTTTCTTGTTTTGGACAAATTAATTAAATAATTAATAAATTTTTTTACTCTCTTTTGTAGGTTTATATTTTTGGAGGGATCAAGCATATCAGGATAACTATAGTGGGTATCTAAAACTGAAACCAACATTTCAGATTCATAATTTAATGTTTTTGAACCTTTCCATAAAAATTCCATTTCTTTGTTATCCTTCATATAATTTTTTATATCATTTGAAACCCTATTTATAACCAGGCCTTTAATTCCCATTTTAGAAAATAGGGTGGGTGTAATAGAGCTATATCCAAAAGGATCAATTTGCCATGCATACTCAACTGTATAATTTAAATTATTTTTTAACCATTGGTGTCCTATTGTCATTTGTTCAATAACCTCATCTAAGTTAGTGGTAGCTTCATCATTTTGTACCCATCCACCAGTAATAAATTCCAATTGTTTTTTTTTTATTAATTTTTTTACAGAGTTTTTGGTAGTTTGATTTTGATTTTCAAACCACATACTAAAATACCCAATTTCTACCCAATTAAATTTTTTATTTTCATCATTATTTAACTCATTATATATTCCATCTAATATATATTGGACTTTATTATTATAATACTCCTATTATATAGTTTATATGTTTTTTTTAAAAATTAATATATTTATATTTAAAATTCAAAATTATTTTTCTTACATACTGAGTAAGTTTGTAACCAACCAGAGTCACAATGAGAATGAGGTATTAAAAAAACTTTTAAACCATTTTTTTTTGATTTTAAATTTCTTGAGTGTCCCAAATTTCCTGTTATTTCTTTGCTTTGGAATAAATTTATTAAATAAACTACAGTTATTAAATATATAAAAAACAAATTTATTTTTAAATTCATAATAAGAAGCAAAATATTAATAATGAGTGATTAAAATTCATTAATGTTTTTTTTACTATTTAAACAAAACTACCCCTCTTCCCACATTATAAAAAAACAATTCGCTATTGTAAATATAAATAAAAAGAGGAATTAATAAAAAAAATTTTGTCTTTAAATCCCAAGATCTACCACTTTTCTGCATATCACAATTTTTAACAAATATATATTTAATTATTATTTTTTCATATGTATTGTTTAAGCATTAATTTATAATACTTAGCTTAAGTATATCAAAATCAAACATTTATCAAGATAAGGTTATTTATTTTAGTTTTTTTTTTTTAAAGTGTTTGAAAAAAAAAAAATTTATAACATCATAATTGATGTTTTTTTTTTAAAAAATAATTTTTTTCACCATTTATGCGAATTAATTATTATTTTATATAAAAAAACGCTATTATTTAACCCAAAAAAGTAAAAATATAATTAATTATTCGTGTTGAAAAAACACACCCCCATCAATCATTACAAAAAAAAAAAAAAAAAAAATTTTTTTTTTAAAATTATATGTTCTGATTATCCGCACAATAAATTTTTACCGTCTTTAATTTAATTTTAAAAAACTTAAAATTTGAATTGTTATAATTAACAATTTAAATTTTAAGTTTTTTAAAAATATAATTTTTTTTTTTTTTAAAGCATAAAAGAGTAAAAATATAAAAACAGAAAAAAAAAAGGATAAAATTTAGGCCTAATATTTTTTTATTCTTATTTTTTATAATAAAATGAAATACTCTAACTTTTTATTATTATTCTTTTTTAATTTTCTAATTATTTTTGTTTTTGGTGACTGTGTTTTCAATAATATTGATTATTCACATCTAAGTAACCCAAAAGGTTATTCGGCACCAAGTGCTTTAAACCTTCATAAAGAAGAAATTGGAAAATATACCTTCCATTGGAATATTTGTGGTAGTTGTTCCAAATGCAGTCCCCTTAGTGGATCGGCATGTCAAAGAAATGACGGGCGTAATGAAATAATTGGTGAAGCTTCAAGACATCTCTGGGGTATAGAACAATCATCAGGAAAAACAACACTAACCTATTTTTCTAAAAATGGCCATGGGTGCCCAGATAAACCTAGACAATTAACTATCATTTTTGTATGCACAAATGAACCCTTAAAAACCTCGCTTGTGTATGAAGATTCTGAATGTAAATATAGTGTTACAATGTATGGAGCCTGTGGTAGAGCTATAAATTAATTAAAAAATCTATTGTTAGAAGTTCAACTTTAATAGAAAAATAAATAAAAAAAAAAAAAAAATTTTTAATTGCTTTATTCCTTTTTTCTTTTTTTATTTTTAGATTTAATTGAAAATATTGTCTAGATACTCTATAAGATAACACCCTAAATTTTTCATACATTTGCTATATTTGATAAAATTGGACCCATACTAATGTAATTTTTATTATAAAATTGAAATAAGAGTTAATGATTTGTTTTTTTTATTTTTTTGCTGAAAGAAAAAGAAAAAATTAAAAAACAAATAGATTTTAAAACAAATATTTTAATTATAAAAATTAAACTAACAATAAATGATGCAGATAATATATAAAATTGAAGTATTAAAAAAAAAAAAAAATTATTTTTAAATTTATTTTTGAGTAAAAAAAAATTTAAGATTATAGTTTATTTGAAATATTTATTCTTCGATCTCTTCGACATCAATCTCTTCTTCGACTTCAATCTCCTCTTCAACTTCAATTTCCTCTTCAACTTCAATTTCTTCCTCGACTTCGATTTCTACTGTTTCCTCTTCAATAACTTGGTTTTCTTCATTTTGGTTGCTATTTAAATTATCCCTATTGTTTCCTAAATTTAAATCTTCATTTGTACAATTAATACTTTCCCCTTCTTTCGATTCTGATACTATTTGTTCATTAGCTATATCATCCATTTGTGAGTTTTCTTTAACTAAAAATTCGGTTGACTTTTCACTTGACTCATCAATATCTGGTATTTCTGGTTCATTTTCTAAAAAATCTTCAATTTTATTTTCAGTTGTTTTATCTTCGACAATAACTATATCATCAGTCTTCTCTTCTAATTTGGTTTCACTAATAATTGGTTCATCGGATTTGATATCCTCGTTTGACTCTATTAATTGCTCTTCTCTAGCTTCTAAAGTAATTGATTTTTCCTCGACTGGGTTTTCTTCAATTTTAACTTCGAATGGTTCTTCTATTTTGTTTTCAATAGATTCTTCTGTATTTTCAATTGAATCTTCTCTTTGTTCGATTGGTTCATCAGCTCTAGTTTCTTCTATTGCTAGTGATTGTTCAACCGGTTCCTCTGATTTGATTTCTTCATTAATAAATGGTTCATTGATTATTATTTCTTCCATAACTACTGGTTCCTCAGTTTTGATTTCTTCTGTGGCAACTGACTCTTCAGTTTTAATTTCTTCTGCGGCAATTGGTTCTTCAGCTTTAATTTCTTCTGTAGCAACCGACTCTTCAGTTTTGATTTCTTCTGTAACAAGTGGTTCAATGGTTTTAATTTCTTCTGTGGTAACAATTGGCTCCTCAGTTTTAATTTCTTCTGTGGTAACAATTGGCTCTTCAGTTTTGATTTCTTCTGTAATAAGTGGTTCAATGGTTTTAAATTCTTCTGTAGCTACTGGTTCTTCAGTTTTAATTTCAGCAACTTGATCTTCAGGTTTGATTTCTTCTGTAACTGATTCATTAACTTTAATTTCTTCTGTTGGTTGTTCTTCAGTTTTCTCTTCAAATACCTCGGTAACATTTGATGATTCATCAGATTTAACTTCCTCTGTAGTGATTAATTCTTCATTTTTAACTATTTCATTTGTATCAATTAACTTTTCATCTTTAATTGATTGTTGAGAAATATTATCTTCTAATGGCTCTTTAACTTGAGCATTATTAATTGGTTGTTCAAAATTAAATTCTTGTTGTAATTTTAATAGTTTTTCTTTAAAGGTTAATTTTTGATTTGTAATGAATGGATGTAATAAAGCTTCAGAAATTGAAATTCTTTTATCTGGAATGAATTGTAACATTTGTTGAAGTAAATCCAAGGCAGAATCCGAAGCATTTGAACAATTGGCTCTAAGGTTATCAATACAATCTTCGAATGGAACTGGTAATTGAACAGCGAATTGAAGTAATTGAACGCCATCATTCTTCATGTTATTACTATTAATCATTCTATCTACATCTTTTTGGAATGGTCTACCAACGATTTTAACTATATTTTCGATTAATGATTTATTATTATGGCCATGGAATAAAGGTTTGGTTCTTTCTTCTTTATTTTGGAGCAAGTAAATAAAAATACAACCCAATGACCAAATATCTGACTCTGTGTTGATAACACCACCAAAGATTTCTGGAGCACCATAAATCATACCATCTTCAGCTGGCTCTGACTCTACTGTACCTTGAAGTGATCTCATTATACCTAAATGAGTTAAATTGATTTTAAGTGATTCATTTCCTTCCTTTGTACCAGATATTAAAACTCTTGATGGATTTAAATCACGATAAACTAAACTTGAAGAATGTAAGAATTGTAAAGTTTCTAAGAGTTGCTTCATAATGGTACGAATGATATCCATTGATAATTGTTGTTGTTCGTTATAGAATTCTATGAATGGTTTTAAGCTTGTTTCAGATGGCTCCATAATAACGTAGATTGATTGTGGAGTTTCGCTGATTTCATATACTTTGGTAATATTTTCGTGAACTGGAATATTTAATTTAATACCTGGGGGTAAAACTTTGACTGCAACTGGTTTTAATTCTTGACAATCGAAACCACAGAAAATAGTAGTTGAAATTTCAGAGATTAAAGTACCTAAATGATAACGATTTGAAATGGCTGGAAAAGTATTTGAAAGGTAGGCTTGAATAGATCTATCGATTGATTCCTGTGATTGGACTAGTCTCTTTTTATTTTCAACGAATTCATTTACAACTTTTTTATTTAATATTGGAAGGTATTCACCAAATAATCTAAGCTCTTCGTTACAATAACCATCAAATTCTTCCAATTCTCTTTTGTGACGTTCTAATATTTCTTGTCTCTTCTTTTCTAAATCTTCTTGTTTTGATTTTTTACAGTTTTCAGTATCCAAAACGATATCGGCATCTTTGGTGGCAATTAACATTCTCATTAATGATTTGTAATCTTCAGTTACTTCTTCTACAGAATCTTCAAATTGTTTTAGTTCGCTGCCATATTTTTGTTTTCTTGTTTTAATAAACTCTGTATCTTCATCACTTTGACTATCGAATAAATCATTACCAAGTTTCTTTAATTTTCCAAGCTTTTCTAATAATTGATCTTGATTAGTTTCATTTGAACTTGGTTGGTAATTATTTGTATTTTTAATTGATTTTAATTCAATAATTGATATTTGAACCAATTCATCTGTTAAATCTGGTGAAATTTCGTTTGAGAAAATATAATCCTCAATAACTTCTTCCTGTTGCTGTAAAATTGTTGGTGATGCTTGAGGTGGTTGAATTAAATTTGAGCTACTATTTAAAGTCATTGATTGTGATCTTGAGAGTGAATAATTTGATTGTGATCTTGAAATTGATGATTGAAGTGTACTTCTATTACTATCATTATTCCAAAGATTTTGAACTAAATTAGCTCTATTTTTAAACTCTTGTTGAACAACATCAAAGGGTATTCCTGTGGCATTTTGAACGCTTGCAATATTAGTTTCGATAGATGTTACAGTTAATAAATCTGCATATGTATTATAATGTAAATGAATGATTGCTGGTTTTTTTAAATCCAATACTTTAATCTTTTTTAATATCCCTAGTAAAAAAAAAAAAATTTGTTTAATAAAATAAAAATTATAAAATTTAAAAAAAAAATAATATAAATAAAACATACAATCATTTTCCTTTACAACTTGAATTAATGCAATTGAGCCATTATCACTTGCTGCAAAAATGATATCACGATATTTATCATAGACTATGGTTTGTGCAAAAAATGAACAGCCATTGAGTTGTTTACCAGTTTCAATATCCCAAAGACGAATTGTTCTATCCATTGAAGAGGAAATCAAATGACCCTGTCTTGTAACTAAAAGATTTAAAATAGCACCTCTTGAATGACCATCAAAAGTTCCTAAGACATTACGTTCGACAAAAGAATATTTTCTAATTATACCATCAGCAGCACCAGAGATAACATATGAATGAATTGAATCAAAAGTTAAGGCAGTAATTCCAGATGATAAAGTATCCAACAATTTATTTAAACTTTTATTGGCCTCATCCTCGGCCAAATAGACTGCTAAAAGACTTCCACTATCCATATCCCAGAGACGTACAGTTCCATCCATAGCACCAGATAATAGCAACATATCCTCACCAGTTTTATATTGAGTATTATTTGATGTCATTGGAGTGATTGGAAAAATTACACGAATAAAATCTTGATGAGAGATTGAAATTACATCACTTGATAAGTTTGACTGTAGATTTGGCAAAGCTCTAATGAATTGTCCACTATCACCACTGTAAATACGAATGAAAAAATCATCTTCTGCTGTTATAAATTGGTTATTCTCTTCATCATATACCACTAAATTGATAGATCTCTTTGAAAGTGAGTTTTTTAAATGTTCTCTAGTTCTATCATTAAAAAAGAAAAATCCCTCCTTTGTGATAACTGTGCTACCAAATACCTTTTCATTGAAAAATGCTGATAATGGTTTAGAGTCTTTAAACGTTTGTGATTGGTTATTACCCATTTAATTCTATATTAACTATATATATTAATAAATAAATATATACTGTAATTATAAAAATAACTATGAGTAATTAAATTAAAACTTTTTATTATTTAACAATTGTTTAATAAAAACACAAAAAAAAATAAATAAAAATCTGAGGGCTAATGCGCCAGCTTTTTTAAAATTTAGAAAAAATTAAATAAAAAATAAAAAAAAATAATTTTATTTTTTCAGAAAAAAATTTTTCAATTTACTTTTCCAGTATTATAATAATAATAAAAATATGATTAAATGCCATACATGAATACACTGAACAAATAAAAAAGGAAATAAATAAAAATATGTTCAGTTTTTTTTTTTTTTTTTTTAATTTTTTTTATTTATAATTATATATAATAGATATATTATTAAAATAATTATTTTTTTTTTTTTTTAAATTTTGAAAAATTTGATTGATTGTGATTGATTTTTTTGAATTTTTTGAATTTTTTTTTTCTAACCGTCAATATCAAAATCATTACCAACATATTCTGATTTTTCAGTAGCCATTCTATTTCTTTCAATGATATTTTGTTGAGTCTTGATATACCAACGATAAGTTTGATAACCTAAAAGTGCTACTAAAATGGCGATACCTAAATAAACGGCAGTATTCATAACTAATAATTGAGTTGATGAGTATTTCTTCATTTTTTCCTTGATTTTGGCCTTTCTCTTTTCATCTTGACGGGCACGTCTTTCGTTATCTTTCTTCTTTTTCTTTTCTTCTTTTTCTTCTTCTATACGCTCGAGGGTCTTATGATCGGTATCATCGAAAAAGAAAAAGATGATATTTGGAATCATAGTGATTGTGCACCAAACGTAAAGTACTTCGGTTCTGAGGTCTACTTGTTGAATCATCTTTGGAATATCTAAAAAGATAAAGACACCAAGTGTGAAGATTACCCAAATTAAATTTTGATTTACAAAGCTGTTGATTGTTTGTAAATGTCTTTTCATATATATAACGGATGTTAAAACGACTGCGTAAATTGCCCAAATATAAATTAAATATACTCTATTATTTGCTACAATTTCACCTGCTCTCTTTAAAATAAATGGTAATCCAAAAAATGTTGGAACTAATAAAAATAATAAACCAAATTTGATAAATGTCTTTGTTGATTTTTCTGGTTTTTCTGATTCACCACCACCACCATGTCCAGTACATGGTTTACCATCATGTGAATGTCCGTGTTGTTGTGGTTTTGTATTGTTGTGTGAATGTCCATGATGGTTGTCATCGTCATCTGAATGATCTTCGTGATCATGGTCGTGATCATTATGTTCATGTGAATGACCATGATCGTGTGAATGACCGTGGCTATCGTGTGAATGACCGTGGTTATCGTGTGAATGGCCATGGTGATCATGTGAATGACCATGTCCATCTTCTTCTTTTTGTACTGTTTTTTTTGCCATTATATTTTAAATATTATTATTCTTTTTTTTTTCTTGTTTATTACTATTTATTATTAAAAATTTATAATAATATATTGTACAAAAAATAAAACAAAAAATAAATTATAATAGTTTTTTAAAATAAAAAAAAAAATATAATAGTTTAAATATAAATAATTTAAAAAAAAAAAAAAAAATATTTATTTCAAATGATAAAAAAAAAAAATGAAAAATTTAAAAATAAAAAAAAAAATAAAATTTTTTTTTAAAAAAAGTGGTGACAATCTTTATTTATTTTTGACCAGTGCATTGACTTCATAAATATAATTAGTTAAATTATTACAAAAAAAAAAAAAATAATAATAATTAAAAAATAATTAAAAAATAATTAAAAAATAATTAAAAAAATAAAAATTTAAATAAATAAATAAAAAAAAAATATTTCTATATCTAAAAATATTTATAAAATAAAAAAAAAAATAAAAAAAAATAAATGGAAAAAAAAAAAACCAGAAAATAAATAAAGTGACATTTTTTCCATAAATAAGCAATGATGCTAACAGTGCAACAATTTTATTAATAATAAACCCTTATCATTTAAAATATAGTGATGATATAGCCGATTCACATCAATGGGGAAATTTAAATCAACGTATTTACATGGATATATAAACAAAGTTTTTTTTTTTTTTTATAATAAAATAAATATATTTTAAACAAATAAATTTTAAACAAATAAATTTTAAACATGTCAATTATTAGTAAATATAGTTTATTTAATTATTTTTTAAAATTTATGTTTCATTTATTAATATAAATTTTTTTATTTTTAGAATTAATTTCATCTACTACTCTTTCATCATTTTCCAACAACAAGAAATCCTCAGTCTTATTCAATGACAAAGACGCTCCATTTGGAAGATATACCAACAACCAAACTTCATGTGGCTGTGCTGATTTCAGAGGAGGAAACATAATCAATATCGACATTGATATCCGTAAAAGACGTGGAGGTTGCTGTTAAATTCTTTGCGTAGTAATAAATATTTATTTCATAAAATCAATAAATATAATCATTACATTAAATAATCAATAAATTTTATTTATTCATTGACCAATATCCTTAAGGTATTTTCTATGTTATTATTTTCCATATAGTTTTTTTATTTATCTTTTAAAATTAAGTGGGGTAAAATTAAAAATTTTATTTTTTTTTTTAAATTTTTTTCATTTTTTTTTATTTTATGAATATGTGTGATACATGAAGATAAAAATGAAATATAACAATGATTTAGAAAATTTAACACAATTATTACAAAGAAAAGAGGTATTTTCACAATCAGATATAATAGAAAAAGCAGATTTTTTTTATAACGATTATCTTATAGAAGCATATTTTCAATTAGAAATTATAGATTATGATTTTTTGTCACTACCTTGTGTGGATAGCCAATTAAAAGAGATAATAGACAAGTTTTCAAACACGACTACCACCACTACAACCACCACCACCAACGCGACCATGACCACAACGACAACAACAACAGCAATCAGCAGCAACGATAATCAATGTCCCAATATAAAAATGGGAAGAATTTGTGAAATACCATCAGAGTTTTTAGAAATTAGCGGTAGATTATTGGAAGAGGAAATCCAGGTAATTGAAACTGCATGTAAGAAGAAATTGGGTATTGAAAACGAAGTAAAAATAATAACAAGACTATCAAAATTAGTGATATACGAAAAAAACAGCCCACCCTTTCCAATAGTAAAGCACAATGATACAAGCGATAATAAATTTGCAACGTTAGTGTGTGTTCTACCCAGTACCAAACCCAAAAAGGGTGGTGAATTTTTTATAAAGCATAATAGTACAATAGTATCATTAAATATAAACAATGTTAGTCCATCGAACCTTAGATTTGTCGCATTTTTCAATGATTGCCAAACCAAGATGAAGCCAATAACATCAGATGGATATAGAGCATGCTTGGTATTCGATCTAATCAAATCCAATAAAAGACTATCCCTATCTGCAAATGAACTAGATACAGGTAAAAAGAACCAAGAGACAATGAAAAAACAAATAAGCGAACAACTAGAATCATTATCAAACGAAATTAATAACCAGTTTACAAAATTAAATAAATTAATATATGTATTCGATCACCACTATCAGTCATTCAGTCAACTATTAAAATCGAATGAATCTATCAATGACAAAACCATTACAAATAAAATATTAGCATTAAAGAATTCTATTGGATACTCAGTTTATTTAGCCCAATTTAGCTACCAAGAAATATTGTCCATCAATGGTGATTTTGTAAAAGATGATACCTCCTCTGTAGTATCAAATTTCCTAGATCCAAACGACCTATCTCCCATCACCCTATTTGGAATCGACACTCATATAGATATCGATGAAATTCTTCCAATAAACTGTTTAAAAAATATAGAACCTAAACTAACAAGAGACGCCAATAGTGAAGACGAAATAAAAACATACACAGCATCATCGTTGGTTATCATCAAAAATGAAACGCTAAATATCCCACCTCCTCTTATCCAGTCATCTTCTTGTTCTGAGAATATAAACCCAAATAAAAACAAAAAAACCAAAACAAAATAAAAAACCTGTATAATTTCAAACCAAACCACAATATCCTTTTTTTTTATTAAATACTATATTTATTTATTTTTTTATTTCTTTAAACCTCTAACAGAGATATCATATACAACTTCTTCTATTCTCTTTAAATCGTATTTCATGGAATCGTATCTAAAAATAAACAATTAGTTGGTATCTTTTGAAATTTATATATATATTGTATAAAAATAACTATAATATACCTCTTTCTAACAATATCATTTTTAAGATTTAATAATCTAAAACCAGCAAATAAATCGGATTCAAATTTGGAAATGGCACTTGGGGTTTCGTAATCTTGTCTAATAACACAATTTAAACAATATCTGCTCTATAGATTATGAATTGAAATTGAGTTAGTAAAATATAATATAATATAGTTTGAATTAAAAAATAATTTTGATTACTTACTAATTCATTTGAAAGGTTACATAAAGCAATTAAATAATCTTCTAATTCGAGTGAGAATGCACCTGGTTTATTTTCTTCGACTATTTTTAAAGAAAAAAATTAATATTTTTGGTGGTGGGTGAGAGGGGGTGATTGAACTTTGGGGAATACATACGATTTAATAATGATTGAAGCTCTTCAATTTTTAATAATTGTTTCTTTTCTATCCAATATGAAAATAATAAAGAGAATGAGATATTGGTAAGTGAAAATTTCCAATATTCTCTATATTTGAAATAAAGTTCTGGTTTAATTAATGATTTTAATTGATCGATTTGGATTTTTAATGGCTCAATTTCGGTTAATAAGTGTTGATATGTTGTAGTGCATGAAACGGAGTGATATTGTTGAACTAAAGTTGAAAGTTTTCTTTCTACAGGCTCGATATTTTTGACGATATCTTTAATTTGTTCACGAATTTGAAACTCTTTTTCTAAATCAACTGAAAATTTTTCAAAAACACTTTCCATTTTATTTGTATATTATATCAATGATTAAATAGTGGGTATGTGTGTATAATCTGGATATATCTATAGATCTATATCTTTATATTAAAATATTGATCAAGATAAAATTAAATAAAAATGGTGAAATGAAATTTATAAATTTTTATGAAAAAATAAAAAAAATTATTTTTTATTTTTTTTTCATTTTTTTTTTTTTTTTAATTTTTTTCAAATTTTTTTTTTTTTACTTTTTTACATTTATTATTTCTACGACTATATATAACAAAATGTTTCACAATTTAAGATTAAAACTTTTAGGTTGGGCTGCTACTGAACCAATCTTCTTTTTCACCACTGTTGTTAGTACTCCATGTAAGTATACTTTTATAAACAATATAATATCACCAAACCATCTTTTATTAACCCTATGATGATTTTTTTATTAGTGGCCTTTTTACCATTTATCGTTAGACCATTACGTGAAAAATTCGCCACCAGAAAACTTCATGCTCATGCTCGTATGTTATTAATTTAGGTTATATTTATATTGGAAATAGATTTAGGAAAGAGAGGATTTATTTATTAATCGATCATTTTATTTATTTTTATAGAATTCATTCACAATGGTAAAACCTTTTAAAGCAATAATACAGTAACAATAATAATAATATATATAGAAAAAGAAGCCTTTTTTAAAATCATGTTAAATAATAAATTAAATTAAAATTAAAATTAAATTAAACAAGAATTATATTGTATTTTTTTTTTTTCTCTTTTTTTTATTTTTTTTTTAAATTTTAAAATTTTTTTTTTAAATTTTTCATTTTTATTTTTTCATACAACCAAAGAAGAAAGACATGGAAGATAAAATAAACCCTAATGCATCAACCACCACCAATTCCCCCTCTACAAATAATGATAGCAAACCAATTAATATAAATATTGGTATAATGGGACATATTGATAGTGGTAAAACATCATTGGCAAAAGCACTAAGTACAAATTTATCAACCGCATCTCTAGACAAATCACCAGAAAGTCGAATGAGAGGTATTACATTAGATTTAGGATTTTCATCATTTCAACTTAATAGAGAACTTTTAAATAATGCCATTGGAAATGACGAAAGTAGTAGTTGGGGTAATAAAATAGATAATAATCAAAATATTCAGATTACATTAGTAGATTGTCCAGGTCATGCATCATTAATTAGAACCATCATAGGTGGATCACAAATTATTGATATGATGTTTTTAGTAATCGATATAAACAAAGGTATTCAAACCCAAACTGCAGAGGTATAAAACTTAACCATTACACATAATAAATACCATTTATAAATTAGGCTAACCATTAATTATTTATATAGTGTATTGTAATTGGCGAAATAACATGTAAAAAAGGGATTATTATATTAAACAAGATTGATCAAATACCAATTGAAAATAGAAATGAAAAAATAGAATCAGTATCAGGTAAATTAAGAAAAGCATTAGAAAAAACCTGTTTTAAAGAATCACCAATAGTACCATTTTCAGCAAACCCAAGTGATAATAATAATAATAATAATAATAGTGATAATAACGACGATAACAATATAGCCAAACCAATTGGATTAAATGAATTATATAAAGAATTAAATAAATATTTAGTCGTACCAAAAAGAGAGGAAAAAGGTGATTTATTATTCGAATTTGACCATTGTTTTCAAATTAAGGGTCAAGGATCAGTATTAACAGGTACAATATTAAGAGGCACCATCGAAGTGAATCAAACTATTCAAATTCCTCAATTAAATTTAGAAAAAAAGGTTAAATCAATGCAAATGTTTCATAAACCAATTAAAAAGGCAATTCAAGGTGATCGTGTAGGTGTTTGTGTAACCCAATTAGATTCAAAGCTATTAGAAAGAGGATTGGTATGTTCAAACAACTCAATACCTTCACTATCCTCAGCACTTATTTCAATTGAAAAGGTCAGATTTTATAAAAGTGAAGTACACACAAAATCAAAATTTCATATTACTATTGGCCATTCAACTGTAATTGCAAGCTTAACTTATTTCTCAGCAATTGTACCAAATAGCAATAATGGTAGTGGTGATAATAATAACAGTACATTCAACTACTCCAACGAATATATTTATCAAGATACTTTAAATGCAACCTCACCAGAATTCCCAGTGGGCTCACAATTTGCTTTGATTAAGTTTGACCATCCAATCCTATGTCCTCTTAATAGCGTTATTATAGGTTCGAAATTAGATGTCTCCACTGATTCAACTGGTTGTAGAATAGCTTTTCATGGCACTCTAATTGAGGGTGTTGATGACAAATCTCCAAATTCAAAACAATCTTTATCAAAATTAAAAATTTACAAAACCAAATCGAAACAGGGCCAAGTCGAAAGAGTAAGCATTTATTTTTAGTTTTATCATTATTAACTTTTTATTAACTCTAAAATTATTATAATTTGTTTTATCAGGTTCATAACCAAGATACACTTATTGGTAAAAATTTATTTAAAAAAGATTCCGATATGACTAGTTTTATTGGTATGAAGGTGGTATTCGAAACTGGCGAAACTGGTATCATAGAATCGTCATTTGGCAAAGGTGGCAAAACTAAAATACAACTTTTAAACAATGTTGCTGCTGAATCTATTAAAATAGGTTCAAATTTCACTTTAACTTTCAAAAGATTTATTTTTGATCAAACTAAAAGTAATAAGCAATAAAAAATAATAAAATAAATTGTAAAATAACAAATATTTTTTTAAATTATAAAACAAGATAACTTTTTAAATAATTAAAGATTTTAAAAAAAAAATAATGAAAAAAATAAAGTAGACACATTTTTGTAATTTTAGAATTAAATAAATATATTTTATTAATTTCATTTTATTTTTGAAAGAAAGAGAAAAAAAGAGAGACGAGAAAGAGAGAAAGAAGAATGAACAATGAAAGTCACAGAGGAAGAAATCTATATTCTGTAAAAAATAAAGAAATAAATTAGTATTTTTGTTATATTTTTATGTAAAGTTGCTGTTTTATAATATTATTATGATTATTATTATTGAATCAGAAAAAATGTACCAATAAAAACGTTTTGTCTACAGTATATTTAAGATCAGGTCTCGAGTTGTATCATCATTTAATAATAATAATTATAATAAAACAAATATTATAAAACTTACCAATATTAAAGTACAAGTGAAATTTCTTTATCAGAACTAATTTAAAAGGGGGAAAGCAAAAAGAAAACCTATTAATGAAAAAAAAAAGAAAAGTTAGTATATAGTTAAAATTTTAAAATTACGTAATTTCAAAATAATTTTTTTTTTTTTTTTAGGATCAGAAAAAATGTACCAATAAAAACGTTTTGTCTACAGTATATTTAAGATCAGGTCTCGAGTTGTATCATCATTTGAAAAAAAAAAAAAAAATTATGTGTATAAAATAATAAATATTTACTTTTTGGTTTGTGTGTTTGTGAAAAAAAAAAAAAGAATGAAAAAAATTAGTTTTATAAAAAAGTGAAAAAAAATATTTTATGAAAAAAAAAAGAAAAATAGTTTTTTTTTTTTTTTTTTTTTTTTTTTAAATTTTACGTTACTTTTTTAAAAATTGTAAATTTAATGATAAAATAATTTGTTTTTTATTTTAATTGAATGACCAAGCAATAGAATACCATTTAAATACCTTTAAATATTTCTCTATTCTTGTTTTGATATATTTTTTTTTTTTTTTTATAAATGGATACCTAAAAAATTTATAAATTATCGGTTTAGGATTTAAAATATTAAATAATTATTATATGTTGAAAATTACTATTTTGGTTAGCTAAAGAATAAAAATGAAACAATTTATTTGTTGAGTTTTTTTAAAAAAAAAAAAAAAAAAAAAAAAAAAAATTAAATTATTTTTAAAATTGAAAAAATTATTTTGTTTTTTTAATTTTTTTTAATAAATTGTAATATATATAACCTATATTGATTTAAATCAATAATGGGATCAATAGTTAAGTTTACAGCATTATCAGGAGGTGACAATGAAAAGCCTCCTTGCTATTTATTAGAGATTGATGATTTTTGTATACTTTTGGATTGTGGTCTGAGCTATGACTTGGATTTCTCATTGTTAGAACCATTAAAAAAGTAAATAAATAAAACAAAGTAAAATAAAATAAAGTAAAATAAATAGTAACATTTAATTTATAATTTAGGTATGCAGATAAAATTGATGCAGTTTTATTATCAAATTCAGATTTATTACATATAGGTGGATTACCATATGCAGTTGGTAAATTAGGATTAACAGGTACAATTTATGGAACTACACCAGTATTGAAAATGGGTACAATGTTTTTATATGATTTATATGAGAATAAAATGGCGCAGGAAGAATTTGATCAGTTTAATTTGGATAATGTAGATGCATGTTTTGGTGAAGATAGATTTAAAGAACTTAGTTTTTCGCAGCACTATTTATTGCAAGGCAAAGGAAAGGGTATATCGATAACACCCTATTTAGCAGGTCATATGGTTGGTAGCTCGGTATGGAGAATCACAAAAGGAACCTATTCAATTATATATGCATTGGACTTTAATCATAGAAATGAGGGCCATTTAGATAGTTTACAATTAACAAGTGATATTTTAAAGCCATCATTACTTATTACCGATTCAAAGGGTGTAGATAGAACATTACCATATAAAAAGATAGCGACTCGTGACCAAGCATTATTGGAGAAAATTCATAATAGTCTTAGAGCTGGAGGTAACGTCTTATTACCTGTCGATACTGCTGGTAGAGTTTTGGAACTTTTACTTTGTATAGAAAATTATTGGGTCAAAAATCGTCTTAGTCTTTATACAGTTGGCTTTTTAGGTCGTTTTTCATTTAATGTATGTCAGTTTGCAAAATCACAATTAGAATTTATGAGTTCGAGTGCATCAGTACGTTTCGAACAAAAAATCGACAATCCATTCACATTTAGACAAATTAAAATATTTTCAACTTTAGAAGAGATACCAGAGACTAATACACCAAAAGTAATTTTAACAAGTTCACAAGATTTAGAGACTGGCTATTCAAGAGATCTTTTTATAAAATGGTCATCAGATCCAAAGAATTTAATTTTATTCACAAATTATATACCAGAAGGAAGTTTAGCATCAAAAGTAATTAACATTGCATCCAATAAATCAAGTGGCTCAAATAAAACCATTGAAATTCAACAGGGTTCAAGAGTACCGTTACAGGGTGAGGAGTTATTAGAATATGAACAAAGAATTGCCAAAGAAAAAGAAGAAAAACTTTTAGAACAATTAAAAAAAGAGCAAGAAGAGCAAGAAGAGCGTGAGCGTTTAGAAATGGAAGAAAAAGGTATGAACCTTGATGACAATAATGACGAAATAATGATTACAAATGGTGTCAATGAACCATCATTACCAAATGGAACAATTATCAATGACTCATTATCAAACTTTAAAAACCCATTCGAAAATAAATATGACTTGTCAAGAGGCCAATTTAGAAGAGAGGGTATGGTTGCAATGTTCCCATACTACGAAAAGCATGTTAAATGGGGTGACTATGGTGAAGAGGATGAGGAGTTTATCGAAAAGAATCAAAATCAAAAGGTTGAGGAGGTAGCAATGGAAGAGGATGAAGAAAATGAACAAGAGGTTCCAAAAAAGATTGTTGTTACAACTCATCAATGCGAAGTTAATTGTAAAGTTGATACCATAGATTATGAAGGTATTTCTGATGGTAGATCTATTAAAACTATCATTCAACAAATTGCTCCTACAAATTTAGTTTTAATTAGAGGTAAAAAAGATCAATCGAAAAATATAGAAAATTATGTTAAGGAGAATATGAGAACTAAAGGTATCTTTTCTCCAGCAATTAATGAAGAGTTGGACTTAACATCCGGTACAAATGTTTATGAATTAGTTTTAAGAGATACTTTAGTAAATACATTAAAACCATCAAAGGTAATTATTATAATTATTATTTAAAAAAAAATTAAAAAAAATGAAAAACAACTAATTAAACTCATTTATTTATTGATATAGATTTTAGATTGCGAAGTGTCATTTATTCAAGGTAAAGTGGAATATAATCCAGAAAACAATTCATCCTATTTAGATATTATACCCAGCGAACAAAATAATGGCCATGATGAATCGTTTATTGGTGATATTAAATTAGCAGATTTAAAACAAGTTTTAGTAAAAGCTGGTATCAAAAAAGTTCAGTTCGATCAAGGTATTATTAATTGCAACGATTTGGTATATATTTGGAGAGAAGATGTCGGTGGAAATTCAATAATTAATGTTGACGGTATAATATCTGATGAATATTATCTTGTAAAAGAACTTTTATACAGACAATTCCAAATAGTTTAATAAAATAAAAATTTTCCTTTTTTTTTTTTAATTAAATATCTTTTATATAAATATTTATTATAATATTTTATATGATTATTTTTTCTTTTATTTTTTTATTTAATTTTTATTTAATTTTTATTTTCCCAATTATTTAAAACTACAATATATTATGTACCATCATCGTCCCCAAATGTGGCTAAAATAAAAAAAAGATAAAAGTTAGAATTTGAATTTGACGAAAATAAGATAAAAAAGGGGTGTGGGTTGATATGATATCACTTACAAAGTTGTAATAATGAAAAAATATTTGATTTTATATTTCTATTTATAGTATTTTTATTATTGTTATTATTATTATTTGATGAGGAAACTGATGATTTTGTATTATTTTGGAAACTTGGTAAATTTGATGATGTAGATGATGCGGCAGGTGTGGCTGATGTGAATGTATTTAAGTTTATATTTGATATATTTGATGGTTTTGAAGCAGCAGTTGCAACTTTGATATTATTTCTTATTGTATTGGCAGATGTTTTATATATGAATCCAAATGATCTATTCATTTTTTTTTGTTTAATCGAAACACAGATATCAATTTGTTGATATTGCTTAAAAAACTTGATCAAAAATAAAATAAAAAAAATTAAAAAAAAAAAAAAAAAATTAAAAAAAAATGAAAAAAACGAAAAAAATAATTTATTTTTTTTTTTTTATTTTTTTTTATTTCGTTTATTATTTATAAATATATATAAAAATAAATAAATAAATAAATAAATATAGTATATATAGGTTAATATAAATGGAAGGAGAGAAGTTTTTTGAAAGTTTGGGATTGGCACCATGGTTAATTAGAAGTTGTAAACAATTAAATTTTAAAAATCCATCGAATATTCAATATAATACTATCCCAGAGATTATTAATGGTAGAGATATTATTGCAAGTGCTAAAACTGGTAGCGGCAAAACAGCATCTTTCGCCATTCCAATTTTAAATTTGTTATCAGAGGACCCTTATGGTGTATTTGCAGTAGTTTTAACACCAACTAGAGAATTAGCAGTTCAAATTGCAGAACAGTTTAGCGCAATTGGTGCACCAATGAATGTACAAGTTTCAACTGTTATTGGTGGCATTGATACTGTAAAGCAAGCACTTATTTTAGATAAAAGACCACATATTATTGTTGCTACACCAGGTAGATTGGCTTCACATTTAACCAATGGTTTGAAAATAGCTTTAAAGTTTTGCAAGTTTTTAGTATTGGATGAAGCTGATAGATTATTAGGTGAAGATTTCGAATTGGAAATTGCTGTAAGTTATATAATAATAATAATTTGATTTTAAAAGTTTTGTATTAATAATTATTATTGTTATATAATCATAAACATACATAAATATACAGAGTATTTTAGAATATTTACCACCACCAACTCAAAGACAAACCTTATTATTTTCAGCCACCATGACAAATAATTTAAAGAAATTAGAAAGTATTTCATTAAATTCACCATTTATTTTTGAAGATAATTCTAAATATGATACAGTCGATACATTAAAACAAGAATATATATATATGCCAGCACAAGCCAAAGATTGCTATTTGGTTTATCTTTTAAAGAAACATATAGGTCAATCAGTTATAGTTTTCATTAATAATTGTTATTCTGTAGAAGCAGTAAAAGGAATGTTAAATAAATTGGATATTCCAGCAGTTTCATTACACTCTTTCCTTGACCAAAAGGCTAGATTATCTGCACTCAAAGTATTCAAATCTGGTAAGGTTAAAGTTTTAATTGCAACTGATGTTGCTAGTCGTGGTTTGGATATTCCAGATGTCGAAATGGTTATCAATTATAAATTATCAAATTCATCAAAAGATTACATTCATCGTGTTGGTAGAACTGCACGTTTCGGTAAATCTGGAAGAGCCATTTCTTTCATTACCCCACATGATGTACAATTAATTAAAAATATAGAGCTTGTTATTAAAAAAGAATTGGAACTTTATAAAACCGATGATGATGAAGTTTTTAGACACTTAAAAGAATCATCAACCGCAAGAAAAATTGTCGAAGTTGTAAGTAGTACAAAACTATTTTTATCATTTTTATAATTTACTAACCACTATTACACTGCCACTATAGCATTTAGATGAAATTGAATTCGGTGTTAAACAAAAAGAAAGAAGAGCAGAAAGAAACGAATTACAAAAACAAATTAAAGACGACCAAGAATTAAACAACAATAATAAAAATAATGACAAAAAAGAAAATGAAAATAGTTCCATTAAAAATAACAAAAAGAATACAAAGGAAAAAGTTATTGAAAAAGAAAAGAAACCTGAAAGCTCAAAAGTTAATGAAAAAAATAATATTAAAAAAAGAAAAGAAGTCGAGAATACAAATAATAGTAATAACAATAATGAAGATGATGGTATTAGTTTATTTAAAAAGAAAAAAAAATAAATAAAATAAAAATAAAAAAAAGTTAAATTATTATTTAAATAAAATAATAAAATTTTATAAATAATTATTTTAGAATGTTATTTTTTAAAAATTATTATACATTTTAATTTTATTGATTTTTTTTTTAAGATTTTTTTTATATATTAAAAATTATAGTTTTTTTTTTTTTTTTTTTTTTTTTTTTTTTAAGTTTGAACCTTCGCTATCACTACTTTCTTCTTTAGCTTCAATTTCATCCAATGAAATAGCAACATCTGAATAAATTTGGAGTTTGAAAGATCTATTTACATTTGGATCAAAAGTGGATGGAATAATAGTAAATTCTCTTGGTGAATCTGGTTTAATGGTAACTCTGCAAACAATATCATTTCTCTTTTCCCAATTACCAGTTTTACTGAAGACCATTTCATTTTGGAAGTCGACAGCAGTGAGTGGTTCAGCATGTGAATCACGTGATAAAACAATGAAACCAATACCTTCATCAGCAATGGTTGAATCTTGAATTAATTGAATAGCAAGAACTTGGTCTTTATCTGAATCTGGAACTTTAAGGTGGAATTGTGGGTTATTAAAGAAGGTTGGTTGATTTGGACTACCACCAGCTGATTTACCAACCCAGGTACCTTTAACTTGTTCGACTTCAGCGAAACCTTCAGTTAATGGAGCGAATGAAGCTTGTTTGTCATCAGTGAAAAGAGTTAAGTGGAAAGCACCCTCAACACCGTGATCATAGGTTGATGGGATAACAATATAGGTACCCTCTTCAAGAGTCATGGTGCAACCAGTGGAGCAAACAAATTTGAATGATTCGGTCTTACCAACTTGTTCTCTAAATTCGATGGCACGTTTACCACTATCTAATTGTTTAATAACGTAGAAACCAACACTCTTTTCATTGTCATCTTGTGATAATAAGACACAGGCTCTGGCTTTTTTGGTAAGAGTGAAAGCATATTGTGGGTTTTTGGTCCAACCTAAAATATTAATATCACCACCACCATTGGTAGCAGTGGTCCATAAACCATCGACAGTAATTTCGGTCCATTGGGCATCTTCATTCTTTGGAAGAACAAAGAATTCACAATTGTCTAATTTTTCAGAGTCTAAATTGAATTTATATGAGCCAGTGAAAGCAAAGGTTTCAGCGTATGGAATGATACAGTATTGGCCTGGTTCGAGATCGATGCTGCAATCGACTTGGGTGGCAGCAATTGGACAAATAAAGTTATCAACTTTCTTAATATCGTTGGTGGTATCTAAAACGACCTTCTTGCTACCGTTGTAGAATGAGTCGTAGTTGATAACAAAGAATGAAACTCTTTGGTCAACACCTTGTGGTTGTCTAAGTTTAAGGGTAACTGGGGTAACTTCATTCTTTACGGTTAAAAGGTATTGGGTGCATTTGATCCAATGTGGGTTATTAATTAAACTACCAAAATTGTTTTCAGAATTCCATTGGCCATCTAAGATGATTCCCTTGAGTACTTCTTTTGGTGGTTCATTGAGAACAAATTTAATTTCTAAACAGATTTCTGGTGGGGCTTTGACTTTTTTGGCTGGGAGACTTAATGAACGAGCTCTGCCTGATGGTGAAGCTGGGGCTTCTTCAGCTGGTGAGTCTTCAGCAGAGTGATGTTCATCAACTCCTTTTTCTTGAGCATTATCATCTGGTGTAGTGGTTGATGGAGCTTCACTTGATGTTTTCTTGATTCTGCTACTTCTTGCTTTCTTGCTGGTTAATGGGTACCATTTGGCTTCACCATCAGCATTTAATAAATCATTAATTGGAATATTAAGTTGACCTGTCATTTTATCTTTAAATAAGAAATTCTTTTTCCATGCTTCGATTTCTAATTCACTAGTTTGACCTGTAACACGGCTATTTATAAATAAAAAAAATATTGAAAAAGTTTAATTAGTATTACAAAATTTATAATTTTATTTCAAAAAAAAAAAAAGAGTTGCTTACAATGAGAAAACATCAAAGAATGTATGATTGGTTAATGGTTTGGTTTTAACTTCAGTTTTCTTTTGAGCTAATTCACATTTAACATTTAAGAAATGTAATTGACAACCTTTAACTTCCTTAACTGTATTATATAAATATAAATTAAATTATTAGTATATTTATCTTTTAAAATATACATTTTAAAACTAATTATTTAATAAATTACCTTTAACTTCTAAATTACCAAAGATAAATTTATCTTTAATTTCAGATGATGGTGATGAAGTTGCGGTGGTGGTAGTGGTTGTTGTTGGTGCTGGTCCGGTTGGAATTGATTCAACAGAAGCAGACATTTTGTAATTGTTTTATTTCTTTTTTGTATAAAATAAAAATTTTAGTGTGAAATGATTTGATTGTAATTAATTATAAAAAAATAAAAAAATATTTTAAATTTTTTTAATTTTTGTTTTTTTTTAAAAAATTTTATTTGAAAATTTATAAAAAAAAATAATAAATAAGGTATTTAAATTTTTAATAAATTTAAATTGATAAATAAATAAATAAATAAATAAATATATATAAATAAATAAATATTATACAAGTTATGATAACTATAATGTTATTATTTTTTTCAATTAAAAAAATACAAGTCAAAAAAAAAAAAAAAAATTAATTAAAAAAAAAAAAAAAAAAAAAAAAAAAAAAAAAAAAGTCATTTTTATGAGCCAATACATTAAAATAACAACAATGCCAGAAAAGTTAAAAGTATGATAATTATTTATAAAGTAGTAGAGTTTATTTGATTTCTTTTTATTTACCCGTGGGGTATAAAAAAAAAGAGGTAATTATATATTTCTAGTGGTGTTAGCTAATTGGTGTTTAATTTTTTATTTTTTATTTTTTTTTTGATTAAATTCATAAGTTCAAAAAAAAAAAGGTAAAGATGAGAGGTTAAATTGTGGTGATAATTACCCCTATTTGAATGATAATATATTTTTTGTTTTTTAAAACCCCCATTTGAATGATAATATATTTTTTGTTTTTTTAATATTTTAGGGGTAATTATCACCCACTATTTCTATTTTAATTTTTCAATTTTTCAGTGTGGGCTGTTTTATATTAATACCTATAATTGGGTAAAAAAATTTAACTTCTTTCAAACAGTTTTTTATCAGTTTCTAAAAAAAAAAAATAAACAATATAATAAATATTTTTTTTTTTATAAAAAAAAAAACAATATAATAAAAAAAATATTTTTCATTTCATTAAATATAAAGTATATTTTCTTTAAAAATGAATATTAAATTATTAGTTACATTAATTATTTTATTAATTTCTTTTTCAAATGCCATTTCAATTAACATAAATAAAATTCCATCAGAGTCTATGGGTAAAAAGTCAGATGGAGGGTGTGGCGAAAAAAAAGGATTTACTGCAAATTATGAAATAGTTGCTGACAATATAAATATTGCAGTTTCCAATTTTATCGCACCCGATTCATATTTTGAACGTGGAACATATATTGTTGACTATGAAAATCAACTCTCAGTATGGGACTTCAACAGTACAACTGATGGTGTAATTATTATAGGAAAAGCCTATGGATTCATTAGAAACGTAAATATCAAATATAAAAACAATTTAAATTGAAAAAACTTACTAAAAAACTCTTTATAACTATTCTAGTCAACCCAATATTATGTTTATAAGGTTAATGGTGTAGAAATGTGTACTAAAGGTATCTTACAAACAAATTTAATCGAAAATATTTCAATATCAAAAAAAGTAGGATCAACAAATGTTGGATCACACCAATTTGATGTTTATGAAAATTTTACCCCAGTCTATAACCTCACTCAACAATATGCAGTTTATGATCCAAATGATTGCTCACTAGTAAGCTTACATATGTCAGATAGTGTTCTTTACTCAGGACAAGCAATCCTTAACGTTTACGACTATAAACCATATGTTGATGTTTCCAGAACTCAAGTCCCATCGTTATGTTTTGAATAAAAGCCAAGCTTTTTATAACAATAGTGGTAATGGATATAAATCGTTTCTATTATTAAAAAAAAGGAAATTATAACAATTATAAAATAAAAATTAGATTTACTTTTTTTATTTACCTTAATTTTTTTTATTTGTTTATTTATTTATTTAATTATCTATTTTGTAAAATACTTTGAAGGGATCACAAAATTTTGTGTAATGAAAAATGTCAATACATTGGATCGGGTTCTGATTTGATTTACTAAACATTCGAATTGATATCGTTTCAATATTAATATTAAAAAAAACTATTAGTAATAAATAAATATTTTTAATTTTTAAATAATAACAATTACATATTAATAACTATGGGATATCATAATTATTTTTTATATCTTTAACTATATTTAGAAAAACAAAATATGATAAATTTAAAATTAAAATATTTAACGTTAAACCCACCCCTATTTAAAAAATAATTTTATGTGAATATAATATATAAAAAAATGAAAAAAAACAATTTATATTTCTTTTGGGGTAAAAAAAACTTTCACATATTAAAAGTGGCTCATTGATAATTACCACTATTCTAAATAAATAATTTCATTCGAAGTAACAATATTTTTAGGTGCTGATTTGTGTGAGTGTTTGATTTTTTTTATAAAAAGTTAGAGATAAAAAAATTTCAATATATATATACCAAAAAATTAACATTTCATCCACATAATTTTATTAAAGCAATATATCTATACATTATACCCACTACATTTATTTGTTGTTTTTTTTATTCACCCATTACATTTCATTTCATTCTATTATCAATATGGTGGTTAATTATGTATTCTGCGTGGTGGGATACATAATTAACCATTCGGCTCTAATATACTTACCTCCACGTGGTAGAGCTGGAAACACTCTTTACAAAGAGTGGCTAATAGTATAAAAAAATATAAATAAATAAAATAAATAAAATAAATAAAATAATGATATTAATATCATTTTATTTATTTTCATTATACACATTTAGGTAAATTCAAATGGGATTGATCATTCAAGAATATCAAGATTTATTGTATAATAATTATAGTATAAGTATTTTATTGGATCATTTAAAAATATCAATTATTGTGAAGCATTCAATATATATCAAATATTATGGATCATTAGAGCTGAATGGTTAATTATGTATCCCACCACGCAGAATACATAATTAACCACCATATTGAAAATAGAATGAAATGAAGTGTAATGGGTGAATTAAAAAACAACAAATAAATTTAGTGGGTGAATATATTAGAACTGAATGGTTAATTGTGTATCCCACCACGCAGAATACATAACTAACCACCATATTGATAATAGAATGAAATGAAATGTAATGGGTGAATAATTAAAATAACAAATAAATGTAGTGGGTGAATAAAAAAAACAAATGGGTGAATAAAAAACAAACAAATAAATGTAATGGAAAATTGACTTGACAAAGCTACTTATTTACATCCAATAAAAAACAATTAGTTGATCGAAAACTTGATTGAATATTACACAATATTTGATATTTTTAAATATTACATAATTCATGATATTTTTCAATGATAATAAAACTTGATATGTTTAAATGATAAATAATACTTGATATTTTAAATGCTAAATATTACTTGATATGTTTATGTGATAAATAATACTTGATATATGTGAATATATTAGAGCTGAATGGTTAATTGTGTATCCCACCACGCAGAATACATAATTAACCACCATATTGATAATAGAATGAAATGAAATGTAATGGGTGAATAATTAAAATAACAAATAAATGTAGTGGGTGAATAAAAAAAAAAATAAATATAATGGAAATTTGACTTGACAAAGCTAAAATTTTTTTAAAGCACTTGTTTCTTGTTGGTGCTGCTAAATAGTCCTTGATATATTTGGATGTTACACAATAATTGATATGTTTATTTTTATTTTTATCTATATTTATATTCTATTTCTTTCAAATTTGATTTCTATACTTGATATTTTTGTGTGATCCATATTACTTAATATTTTTTAAATGCTATATAATATTTGATATTTTTTATGATCCATAATAC